CAGGATTTTTAGGCTATCAAAATACCGTACCTAGAGGTTTTTTTACAGGCATACTTAATAATATGCGCTACAGTAGGACATTTTAATAAGGCAGCACAACTTGTCAGAACACCACCAGAGCCAGCCTTACTTTTGGGTAGCTTAACTGTGAAATAAAATTGACGCACAGTAGCTTTAGCTTGCATGAAGCAATATTAGTATTAAGACTCTTTAACAATCTTGTAATTCAGAGGATATTCGGCAGAAAAATGTACATAGGACAAAACCTATCAGGTTCTGAACATTTTCATTTACCACAGGGTGCGATAGATGTTGTTTTTTTAAAAAAAACATTAATTCTGGCCACAGAGAAACCACACTTACACCCAGAATTTCTAATATATGTATATATAATAATATATATAATATGGGCATAATGCAGACTACAGAATGATGCACAACTACAGTGGCCTATTCCACAACCAAAATTCCTCCCAGCACAACCAAAACTCCATATGCAGTATGTCACTGGGCACATGATCTGTGAAGAAGATAATCATGGAGAACGCACATGGCACAAGGTGAAGGACCAGACGAAACAAAATACTTAAAAGCAATATGGACAGACACCGCTGAAGACTTAATAAACAACTGGTAACTGGTTGATGCGTAACAAGCAGATTTGCATATTCTGTCCCACAAAGCAATTGGATTTTAGTCTGACTAATCTGAGATGCATTTGACTACAAAGTATAAATGTGGTTAAAATTTTTTATTTGAGAAAAATGGTTTTATATAAGTTGAATAAATCTTGACAAGAACAATATTTAATATTTAACAATATTCTCTCGTGTTTCTCATCCTAAGACAACAGCTGTAGTTTCTGATGCCTATGGATTTCAAATGTTTATTCACGTAAGTCAGCAACTGCCCAATTGCATCTTTTATGAATGAATTCTAAGTTAATGGTTTGTGTTGTTTTCTATGTACAGGGAACTGCATCATAATTATTGTCCATGGTAATCAATGATATGACAGAGATGTGCCAGACTTTAGTTGAAACATGCTGGAGTATTCCTTTAATGATTCAGCACAGTCAGATGAGTGTGAAGATTAAAAATGGCAGTCCACCAGGAGCCCGGTCTGATTTTTGTAACTACATCTATAAAAAGTAGATGAAGAGGCTATCTGAAACGAATTATTAAGTTAACAGGTTAACAGGTACAAAAGTGAGTCATCTGTGAGAACTCTTGATAAAGTATAGACAAGCAGACTCTATGTATTTAAATCAACAAAGGAAGACATTCAGTCTGCATTATGTATGCATTTGTGTTATGTATAATAAGCAATAACTAATTATAAGGTGGTGTGTCACCTTTGACATGTATATTAATGGTCTTTGTAGAGCTGTTAAACTGATTTGGTGATTTGTGGCCAGTACATATCATATGAAATCTACATACAATGGTTATGATTTCTACAGTTTCTTCAGTCACTTTTACACCAAATTTCTTTTCAGTGCTGAGTATAATGAAGATACTCTGTGCAATACAAACCTGAGATTAGTACCTAGGCATGGTTTCGGGATGAGTCTGAATTGTTGAGTAATCAAAGTCATGAACATTTTTAAAAGCTGCAGAGTAATTTATGATTTTTTTTGTATGCAAATTCGTTTCTCTCTTTTCATTACAAATTACATTATCAGCAAAACAATCTGAGTGAAAAGTGGAATCTTTGAAATTTGAACATGAATTTCAGAGGTTTAGTATTTGGTATGTCTGTCATTTGCTATAATAAAACTGTGCTCTCAAGCTGGCATAACCTCCACAAGGTTGTACAAAAGCCTCTGATAAGATGAGCAGCTGCTCCTGAGAGTTGTCTGAACACATTTTCAATGGAAAGAATAGGACTAAAAAAAAAACTGGCCTTAACATGGTCAATGGCAAAAAATGACTTAAATCGAGTCATGATCTAATAATGAAAAATATGAATATTTCTTCTTCATTTTATTTGTCATATCTCAAAATTCTAAACTTTTGTTTATTTTTAGGTTTAAATGGAACCTGGAAATAAAACAATAGATCAATAAATGTGGTTTCAGGCTTCTAGACCCCACTCTGGATTTAATGGAATGAAACTGAGTATCACTCAGCTAACTAACTCACACAGTCGAAATATGATGTGACTTGCTTCGTAACATTAGTGAAATGAGATGATTAGCATTTGTCTGTTCATCTTAAAGACTTCAGACTGACATCTTTATTAATGTGTGGCAGCCTGTAGCCTTAAGAGTCCTATCCTTTTTTGGGTAGCAGTAATATTTGAACACTTCCAATACAACTACAAATTCCAATACAAAATCTGACTGAAATGCCCATGACTAGCATGGCTATACACACTCTTAAAAATAAAGATTACAAAAGTGTGCAACAGTGTTCTACCCGCAGTACACTATGAAGTATTCTTTGATTTAACTCACATGATCCAACGTATCACCTGATTATTAAGCCCTGAATGAGCTGGAGTGTTGGGGGAATAGTTAAAACTGTGCAGTGCTGTAGGTCGCCCAGAGCAGTCACTGCTACAGAAAAACTTTTGGCTCCCTTGAGCACCTTTCAACAATTGATTCTTTAAAGAAAAATATTTTGTAAATGGGATTTCATCAACCTCCATATGTAGGTTCCACACAATGCAAGGTTTTATACTAATTGTTTTCTAGAATTGTATGACTGTTTAAGAACTTTTATTTTTAACAGAATATAGAAACTCTGTTATGTGGAGGTTCTTCAATTTTTAAAAAGGTTCTTCACACATATTGCATATTTTATTTACAAAAAAAAAGTTCTTTAAAGAATCACACAATGAGATGTTCTTTAGGGAACAGAAAATGGTTCTGTGGAATCGTTCCAAAAAACACTCTGGCCCCTTTATTTTTATGAATGTACTGAAACTACTGTAGCCTACATCAGAGGTTGGAATTGATATTGGGGTACTATTTCCCTATATTGCCAAACCAAAGTGTATTTGAAATAGGTGATATATTTCAAACACGTGCTTTCGTAACATGCATCAAGCCTAATGCATGGATTAATACATGGATTAAGCCAAATCTTGCGATGTAAATGGATAATTACTGTTCTAATTTTTAATTACCTTGCAATTTTTTTAGTCCAGGTGTAGTCTTAATCTGGGTCTAGTAAACTGGTCTTTAAAGTTCTCTACAATGTCCTACATTATTGGCATTCTTGGCTGGATGTGGCTTTGTTGTTTACCAGCTTGATCTTATACGGAAAACAGGAGAGCGATAACCTTTCAGAGAAGTAAAATTAATAAAATATCAAGTGAAAAATACAAAGCAAATGTTGCAGACATTCAGACTAACACTCAACCCCATACTGCTTACTGCAGCCTATACTGCAATGTGATATAGTATTGATATAGCACTTATACCATCCAGCCCTAGTACTGTTTTTCAGGTAATTTCATATCCTAATACTCTGGGAAGATGAAGGCCACTAAGTACATTCAAAGTATTTTCAAAGATACTGCAGCTGTATGCTTTGTTTTTCAATTAAGATCTTGTGTTAGCATTATGTTTAAATGTAGTTGGTTTAGTTATTTTTCTTGCCGTATTTATCTATGCTGTGATATATATGGGTGTGCCCAACATTTTTTTCTGCCTATAACAACATGATTCTGATATCATTCTGCACTTCAATTATAATGCACTTTTCAGTAACATGATGAGCATTAGGGAGGGTCCCTGGTCTATCTGAGTGTTTCGCTTAATGATAGTGTGGTGGAAGAAAGATAATATTGTTGGTTAATATTATTTTTTCCACATCCATTGGTGCACAGTGATTTAATCAAAATGCAGAAGACATTTTAGAGGCGAGCAAAAGTTCCTACACTTTGATCAATGATTTTAAGAAAACAAAATTGTTGTCTTTTATATGAATTGTGAGTGAATTAATGATTGCCCTTCCAAACAGAAAGTGCTGGGTTTGAATCCGACCCCAGCTGTCACTGATCTAATAAGGTAAAAATAAGGTAAAAAAAAAGGTCAGTTTTGATTTCAGCTTGACTTTAATCCAGGAAAATATACCCAAAACATAAACAGCATAAAGGATCTATAGGATTCAACGGAGGTGTTTGGCAAAAGCACTTTCTCCCTATGAAATGATCATGACAGAGTTCACGAGTTTCCGAGGTTCAGTTCATAATAAGAAAGCATTGCTCGTTGTGTTTGTGCTTGAGAAGTAGCCCTCCAGCGCAGCTTTTACAGGTCTAATGACCAGTGGTTTAATTTACGGCCTAAGCTCCCTTATCCTTAATCAGTGCGGGGGAATCCCAGTGGCAAAATGGAGTGCAGCCCACTGGAACACACGCTTGCACCGCTACCACATACTCAGCATCACATTTAGAGCCTAAATGGACTAAGTGCGGAAATGTAACTCTTACATTCGGTTAATTTTGTTATGATATTAGAATGTAACAAAGGGCATCGAAACGGTGGGAGTATGTGCAATTCATAAAACATGTGAGTCGTATTCGCTAAACGGCATTATTACCGTAGACCAACAGTGGATCGCGCAGGTGAGTTACAACCTCACCGGAAAACTGACTTTTTTCGCTTTAGATTAAACACTTCATTTTAACAGACAACACCCCAAAAGACATGAACGGTTATGTACAGCCTTTATCGACACCTCCGAGCCTGTTGGTAACTCCCTCAAGCCTCACGTTGAGATTTCTAACATAAGCTGTAATTCTCCAGTAATAGTTTTTTCTGCAAAACGTTAACGCTCTCTGCAAACAAACAAAAACATTATATCTGGAAAACCGTTGTTTTCATCAGCTAACTTCAACTATCACATTTTACTGCACTTTGAAACGAGGTGTCTTTTTGTAGTAGTCTCGCCAAGCAGTGTTTGATTTTAAAAATCTCCTTACAGTCCCCGTTAAAACGCTAATTTTTGGCTGAAATGGCCACTCAATCTAAAAAACCTCCGTGTGCCTACCTGCAACGTGGGAATGATGAGCCTCTCTCAGCGGTTGAGAAAACGGGGTCGACTCCACCCTACGAGTGGCTTCCGTCAAATTGGGATCGAAAACGAAGAAGGGGGAGAGAAAAAGGAGGGGGGAGAAAAGAAAACAGAACTCGAAGCAGCTTGGCTTGGCTTAGCTCCGGTCCAAGTCCCCGCACCGTTCGGTTCGACTCGAGGAGGACGGAAAGGCGCTCAGTCGACACCATGAGATGTTGGCCTTTTTTTGGTGTCGTTGGAAATGATACTGGAGGCTCTCTCTCTCTTTGTACCAGGTGTGCGGGGAATCTCTCGTCGTGACGCAGAAAAAAGGAGCATGGGTCCGGCGGCGCCTTTAAGAAAGGGGTTCGGCCCCCGGGCTCCACAGCAAGGGCAGAAAGACGCGAGAGAAACCGCTGTCCGTGAAGTTGCTGCTGTTTCCCCACCTCCTCTCGCTGGGTGTAAAAGAAAAAGAAAACAGAAAAGGGGTCACAGCTGCTTCATACGCGTGTATTACAGCGCAGCCTGGAGAGGCTTCCCCTGCTCCATCTGACATCACCATTGACATCACCGGGTTTCCCAGCAGATCCATCTTGAGCGTCAGTCTGCGCTACTGCTCGCCTTTGCTAGAAAATGTGTCTTTGCCTTACTGAAGATTTGCGGATGTGCCGATTGAATTTTTTTCCTCACAGGAAACAGCAAAGCTTTTCCCAGCTACTGCTGGCGTGCTGGAGGATGAGTGTAGTGTGGCGTGGTGATGACCGGGGTTCTGGAGGATGAGCAAGTGGAGACACTAACTTGGTGCGTGTCTTCTCTAAACTCGTTACTAGCATAACTAAATTGGTTTAATGGTTACATTTTCATAAATAAACCAAGGTTATAATCCTGTTTCCATCATCTGGATTATGACTTCTGGGTAGCAAATATACACAAATTTAGTAAATTCCCCCAGTCTCTAGCTTTGAAAGTGGGGAGGACAACTGTTTTTGAAATTACTTTTAAAATGTTGCACTGGAGGATGTGTATGGTGTGATGAAGACTGGAGTGTTGGAGGGTGAGTATAGTGTGATGAGTGGTGCGCTGTACATGTGAATGGTGTGAATGACTAGAGCACGGCAAGATGAATATCGTGTGATGAATGGGGCACTGTATGAGGCCTATGGTGTGATGAAGACTTGCATTGGAGAAGGAGAATGGTGTGCTGGAGGACGTCTGATACAGGTGCACTAAAGGATGAGTATGGTGTAATGGCTGGTGCAGAGGAGGATGGTATAGTGTAATGAATTATGCACTAAAGGATGAATATGGTGTGGTGAAGACTGATGCACTGAAGATGAGAATGGTGTGAATGGCACTGGAAGATAAATATGGTGTGATGAAGACTGGTGCACTGGTAGATGAGTATAGTGTAATAAAAACCTGTGCACTGGAGGATGTGCAATTTGTAATAAAGGCTTATGCATTGTATTGTAGTATGAGTATGCTGTGATAAAATCTGTGCACTCGTGGACAAGAATGAGGTGATTAAGGCTGGTGCACTGGAGGATAAGTATGGTGTGATAGCTGGTGCACTGGAGAATTAGTGTGGTGGAATTAAAGATTAAAGTGTGATTTTTAGTGGTAAAATAACTGCCTTTGCAGAAGAGACCAAGACTAGACTTAATCAATGTCCTAAACAAGCCTGTGAAAGGATGAAATCGAAATCACCCCACATAGAGTGGCAACCACAGGTTTTTTTCTCTCTCTCTCTATGTGTGTATATGTATGTGTGTATATATATATATATATATATGTATGTGTGTGTGTAAAGTGTGTGTGTAAAATGTGTGTATATTTATATTCTGATAATTTGGCCATTCATAGATTAAAAAAAAAAAATAAAAACATGAGGTCAGACAGAAAATGGTAAGTCATACACCTTCCTATGAAATTCAAGACTGAACTGGTTAACAGAACATCAACCAATCTTAGATTACAACAGTCAGGCAAACAATCAACTGAACTAGTTGAACTAGAATCAAGTGAACAAACAGAAATATGACCTCTTTAGATTTTTGTTGATCAAGTTCACACGTTCTACACTTTTGTCTACATCTTAGGGAACACCTTCTGAACATCTCCACAACACAGAGTAACATCAGGTTCTTTCATAGCTCAGGCCTGATATGCTGTACAACACCATTAAAGGAAAATCATGGGTGATGTGCGAATAAGAATAAGAAATGAACCAAAAATCAAATGGACTCAAGGGCATTGTAAACACCATTTGTTATCCCTAACAACTACTAAGGTAAAGTGTACAATAAAGGCATAGGTAGGTTTTCCAAAGGTAAAATAATGAGGTGGAAGTGGGGGCATCAAATGAAACATTGTAGCAAATAACAGAGCGAAGGAAGCATACAACTTTCCCTTTGTATGATTTGGCCATGACTGAGGACAAATAAGGAAAAGGGGCATCCGTGGTCATCGATTGGAACATTTCACACCTTTTGACAGGTTATTGTCACATTATCAAAACATATCAACTTTTAAGTCTAAATTTGGGTTTCAGGCCTCCTTTGGATCTCTGTTCAATGGCTTCAAGCTAGTTATTTTAGTAATATATAACAGTGCAGGACAATGGTAAACTTGCTTCATTTCCATACCTAAATGTGTCATTGCAACCACCTCTATGACAAGAGATCATCTTGGAAACAACCAAAAAAACTGCACTTTCAAGACATCATTTTCACTGTAACAAGGGCACAGTGTCATTGGTGTGAAACAATTGTCTTATGAATCATCAAAATCAAAAGCAATTTGATTTCTAATGGTGACACCTTGTGGAGAATTTTGTGGAGTGAGTTACAAGCCAGTTTCATATGGCGCTACACATCTAAAAAGAGGCAGTGTATCTCTGTATGATCATCCTTGTATTACTTGTATATCATTTGGCAAAACCATTCTCTTTCTGGAGCCTGAAGTTACCTTTCTATTTTCAGTCATAACTGTGCACCCAAACCTTTACAGAGAAGCAGGCTATATGGACTCTCCGATGTTCTCCTGTGATTATTCTGGGTTAAAGACTTTTTCCTGGACACATCATTTTGAAATGTTTCGAATGGAAAGGAATGGAAGATTACATGCACAAACCATACTGTGACAATGAATTAAATGAGATTCAAAAAGCTGGCACACACGAACACTGAGGATGGACTGGTTGTCAACCCATTTGAATGAGACCATGTTGAGTTATTGCACAAGTTCATGCTTATCATTTGGGTCACGTTTCTAAAAAATGCAGCAACAGGCATATATAGCGTGTGTGTGTGTATGTATATTATAGCTATCATTTAACAGGAGGAAAAACTAAACAAATCATACACTGAAGATGGAATGAACCAGGCATTGAGTAATACATGCATTGCCATACAAACTCGCATCCATTTGCGTTCCACACACAAGTGTATGCTGCTGGTACGGGGTCCAGTGTGCCACAGCAAATAATGAGCTCTGCATCTTTAGATGAGATTTAAATGAAAAGATTTACCAATAACTCTGCAAAGGCTGCTGGTGTAGTTTGTGAAGACACCTGCTTTAGTGTTTAGTCAATTTCTAGCTTCAAAAGATACTTTCAATTCTCAGGTTGAGCAGAAACACAGAAGCCACCAAAAAGAGAGAGTGATGCTGTCAAACCACTACAGCAGCTTCCAAAGTCAAACACTGGCAAAATAAAACACAAAACATTTTAACATGAAGGAAAGACTAAACACTACAAAACGAATAGCAATGTGAAACAATACAAAACAAAAAACTAAACAAATAAATGACAAAGAATACACAAAAACATGAAAGTACATAACCAGTGGTAAAAGGCCTTAATCACTTCAGTCAAATGTAAATACCCCTCCTTCTTCCCAAGTATAGATTAATTTAAATTTAAAATATAAATATATACATAATACTTTTTTTAATAGTGCATTAGCTTTTAGCACACAGTATGCTCGCTGAGGGGTGTGGTCTCATGCCTTGGAGTGGTGGAGCATATTTGTCAGGGGGCAGGGTCTGGTGCATGCAGGCCCCTCCTCTTCCTGAGGCAGCCGGGTTCATTTGGAGGTGGGAGGAGTCTGTTAATCCCGTGAAAGACTGATGGGAGGACATGAACAAATTGGCTAGCAGTCTCAGCCTGCAGCATAGTTGCTCAGGAAGGAGTAGAACATAGGCAGCTTCATCCGCTGCTGGTCCCGCCGACACCAGGCAATCACTGTGCCCTCAATATTAGCTGTGTAGAGGTGGTGGCCATCACACGAAAACGTAAGACTGAAAAAGAGTAAAGCAGCAAAATTAGTTATATAGAATTACAAACCTCATCACCAAAAAAGGTTAGGACAGTATGCGAAATGCTAATAAAAACAAAGTAGTGACTAGTAAATTCTGTTTCACGTGTTATAAATTGAAATGTGATGTTTTAATTTTTACTGTTTACTTTATAAATATGTGATCATCCAAATCTGATGCCTGCAACATGTTATAAAAAGCTAAGACAGGAGCATGATTACAACTGTGTTGCATCACTTTTCCTTTTTAACAACACATTTTAATTTTTTGCCTTTCTGCTGTTATGCAAGTCTTCAGCTATGCAACCATACAGGGCCTTCGCTGGCACATTTTTTGCTTCATAACCTGCCACATGTTTTCAAAGCAAGACAGGCCATGTTATGTTGGAACAAACATGAATGTACCTGAAAAAGACATCATCCAGAAGGTAGCATATGTTGCTCCAAAATGTGTATATAAATATTGCTTTCAGCATTAATGGTCCCTTCACAGACCTACAAGTTATCCATGCCATGGGCACTAACACACCCACATACTACAAGAGACCCTGGCTTTTGAAGCCCAACAAGCCATGTGGTGACATCCATTATAGAAGCATGCCAGTTTTTAATGTAGTGCCGCCTGACAAATTGAAGGTCATGGGCATTTAGTTGTGGTTTTCAGCCTTGCCCTTTGTTTGCAGAGATTAGTCGGGATTTCCTGAATATTTTGATGATGATATACACCGTAGAAAAACCTTATAATTGCTCATTGAGACACATTATTTTTAGATTGTTTGATTATTTGCTGATGGCATTTTTGGTGGCGAGCCTCGATTCATCCTTGGTCAAACAGAGCTAGGCCTTTCCGGGATGTTCCTTTTATACCCAAGCATAGAATGTGTTGCAGACATTAAATTCAGAATAAGCATGCATTTACAAAAAATTTATGAAGGTGATGAGGTAAAACATTTAAAATCTGTTTGTCTATAATATTTTGTCTATGTACTGTTTTTGTTTAGATAGAGGTCAAAACGGATTTACAATCAATTCTTTGTTTTATCTGCATTTCATGTAGATAGTAACTGTAGAGTCAGTAACTGTAAACCTATAAAATGCATCTATATGCTAAGTGTTTCAAATAAAATGGCCAATACATCTAGGTACAAGGGAGGTGTACCTAAATAGAATGGAAACTAGTGTATTTGAGGCAAAAAACAGATATTTTTTTTATTTTTAGTTTAGTGCATTTATTTCCTCGCAAAAATCTCAAAATGAGTTACAACAAAACAAAAAAATGAGAACAAAAAGAATAATCTTTAGACCAAATATTTTATCCAGTGAATTTATACTCTAAACCAGAGGTCACTAATAGGCAGACCACGGTCCGAGTCCAGACCCAGACGCTGTCCTATGCGGACCTGGCCCTATAACCAATAAATTATCGAGAATTATTTAATTTTGACGGGGTGGTCCTATTTTAAATACCGTAACTTTTCTAGCCTTTATGGTACCGCTTTAGCGGCCCGGGAGACTCATAGACCAATTGCATGTGTTGTAAATATCACACATGATGCTACTCAACCAGTCAGATCTGTGCATTACGATGAGCACTGAGACTCGAGTGAGTGACACACACACGGTGGAGGGACGAGGCGACAAACAGCGGACAAAGAAGAAAGTGTGTCAAAGGGGAAGTTATTTCACATGGCGTTCTCTAAAAAGAAAATTGACAATAAATGTTGTTGAAATATTACTGAATTGTACTTTATCTGATTTGACATTCAGTTGTTGACTACACAAAATGTTGATATACCTACTAGGCTAGTTCAGTATACAGTATATGGCACTGAATCATAATGCAACTTAGACATTATGATGTTCTGGACCTTTGCTTGAGGATATTTTCTTTAACTGGACCTTACTGAATTTTAATTAAAGACCCCTGCTCTAAACCTTTGTGGCAGAATTAATACATCTAGAGAAACTCTGACATGCAGCAACAATATACGAGCAAGCAGTACCTTATTATTGGCTTGTTGGACTTGGGGAAGGTTATTTCTCTCACTGGCTTCAGGTCCCATGTGCTCCATAGCCTGAGTGTATGTGTGGGAGGGCAACAGAGGGGGAGGGAGTGAATAAGAAAGAAAGAAATAGAAATAAAATGGCAGAAATGAAAAACAGAGGTAAAAGGATGATAGTGAATCAACATTCAGAACATGTACAAATAAAAGGCAAAAAACTACATCAATATAGTGGAGCACACCAAAGTGAAGAAACATATTCTACAAGAAGTATCAAATCCAAAGAAGAAGACTGGAAAGAAAATCGCATGAAACTGCAAAAGGCTCATGATCTTCATATGGAAGAAAGAATTCCATATTCTAAATCAGTTGACACAGCACAGTATAGGGTAAAGCAGTGTATGGCTGCTTACCTCACAACGCCATTCTCTAGCCCACCTGCAATCACATTAACTGACACCCCCTCTGGCTGATTGGAGAAGGCTACTGAGCAGATGATCTCTCGACAGTGTACATGACCAATTAGATCGCCATTCACCGTCCACAGTCGCAGGTCACTGCCTCCGCCCACTGCAAGCAGGACAACAGCAGGATGATAATATAAAACTGTGTAAGAGTTTACAGCTGCAAAACAATCAAGAAACATGAAAACAACAATCTTTTTCTATTCTTAAAAAAAAAAAATTCATGAAAGGAATACTTCAATATTTTTCAACCCAATCTCCATCAGCTGCATTTGTACCATATGGTCAATTACCCAAAGTGTGTTTAGTAAAAAAAAAAACATACCTGTCATGAAATTTTAGCTGACAATTGCCACATAAGTACTATCACTTAACAATGTAATTGTCTTTTTTTTCATTGTAATATCCTACTAAAGTCCGAGCCCAAAGCTGCCAACTTGGCTAATTATCTACCTTGCTTCCTGTCGATACTTGGAAGCTCCAAACGTACGACAGACACAGTTTGAGCTCAAATAAAAATCATTGCTCACCGCTGCCCTCTAAAAGTGTGACGGCACCGGTCGGAAATTGGAGCTTTTGGTATTTTTATAAGACTCATGATGCATCTCATGTTCTCTGCTTTCTTTGTTACATGCGTTTGCATGGACCTAACTGATGAAAACATGCACAATCCACGTTGTGTGATTGATTGTGAAAGCTAACAACTGAAGAGAATAATTGCTATCAAGAAATTATGTAATAATTGTGACAGGCCTACCTATAATAGAAGGCACTGATGCAACTGCCCATTGGCTTCTATTATAAAAACATTTTTAGTCAATGGGTTTTTCTTTCTAACTACAGAGAAATGTCTGTGGTAATCAACCATATGGTACCAATGCAACAGCCATTTCAAATGACCTGTTTGGCCTGACCAATGAAAGCTGAGACATGTTATTTGTGTTTTTCCAGAAGTTTACTTGTGTTTTCCAGAAGTTGTTTTTTTTAACCTGAAACCTGACGTTGTAGTGCAAGAATGTCCTGAAATGTACACCATACCATAAAGAAAACTTTTTGTACAGGCATATTATCCATCTCTAGCACACATCATGTTTAACCAGCGCAAGTGCATGTTTAGAACCATCTCATATGCTAGATACAATAAAAGTGGTATTAATGTAGGACATATCACCCAACGTTTAAAAGTTCAGTTATGTTTATGTGTGGCAATACTGCTATCATGTTATGGTTTGCATGAAACAAATCAATAAATAAACAATTTTACCATCATTGTTACCCCTTGATAAACCATCACCAGCCACAGGCATATCTACTGTTTATACATTGTTCAACATATTGTCAATACTGGAAACCCTGTAACTCACCTGAGTCGCACACGGTAGCAATGTCTCCGGTGGGCTCACTCGCTGACACTGCATTCACAGGGCTTTTGTGACCAGTGAGACTTTGCACATAGCACAACCTAACAGGAGAACTCTTTTATTATTTGACATGCTTCAGTGCTGACAGTAGTGGTAGAACATTAGAGAGCCACAGACTTCAAAGTAGTCCACAAATTTTTCAGCCTACGAAGGTTTGTAGATGCCCACTCATTTACTGTTTGGGTAATGGGGGGTATGAATGGGGAATTTGTCCTCCTTTGCTGCAATAACATCCTCTAATCATCTGGGAAGGCTTTACACGATGTTGAAACATTGCTTTGAGGATTTGACTGCATCAGGTACCGATGTTGGATGATTAGTACTGAATCACAAACGTGGCTACAACTCATCCTAAAGGTATTCGAAGGAGCTTCATCACTCCAGAGAACACAGTGACTTTCCCATTCTATTGGTCACTGCTTTTCTATGGAGATTATACAAGCTTTGTCATCACCTATGTCATGAACTCACTAAGTAGAAGGGGCATTTGGATACTTTAGAACACCAATAGGTCACTAATCTTATCACAAAGAGCTGGTGTGGCTGCAGGTTTTCATGCCGACCAAACAGGAGCTCACCTTATAATTAATCAAGTGTTTGAAGAAGAAGACTAACTGATTAAACAAGTGTAATCAGGTGTGCTTCTGCTTGTTTGGAATGAAAACCCTCTGTGGATACAATTATTACATACACTTTAGAACATATAGTGCATGACTAAAGCTCAATTCATATGCTTCAGCATAGATTTAGGCTTAAATATTTATTTTTTTGACTGATGTGACCTTACTAGGGATACCCATATCTAACAGACACAAATGCCCCATATGTTTTCTACACATGTAAAATCTAAATCTAACCCTAATCTTAAACTTTGTAACCAAAAAGAAATGTTTTTAGCCTTTCCATTTAAAAAATTAAATATGTAGCTTTGGTAAAAAGCACAGGGCACTACAAAATGGTCCAGACTTTAAGTTATACCCCTTTTCCATTTTCCTGTAGTATAAAAAAAACAGTATAAAAAGTTTAAATACACACCTATTGAGATCCCAGATGATACAGGTTCCGTCTCGGCTGACACTGATCAGGATGCTATATGGTTTGCAGACAAACAGGCCTGTGACCTCATCTGTGTGGCCATACAAGTGAACCTGAGATTCCACATCCATCTCAGAGGACTAGAAAAAGAGAGAAAAGTGATGCTTACCACTAAACACTTTCTAGATTCATTTTAGAAACATGCTTATTGAATGTGAAAAGAGCACCAGTGATCACTTCTTGATAACTTCAGTCATCACTTCTTTCAAAGATTTTGTTTGAACATGAGACAAGGCTACAGTGAAGACTTCAAATCAGCATTTAAATAATCACTGGGTTTAGTTAATTCAACAACCATAAAGGAACAGCCATTGCTTATCACTGTGTATCTATAAAGAGACAGACAACAGATATGTGGTGAGAGAAAGGGTGTTTACAATAAAGATAGAGAAAGAGCGTGCGAGTGGCTGAAGGGTTGTCTGACTCTCAGACTCCAGCACACCTGTGGGCTTTAGGAAATGTGTTTCTAGGGCAACAGAGAGGTGACGAACAAGGCCACTACAAACTGTGTGTGTGTGTGTGTGTGTGTGTTTGGAGGTGCTCTTTAGGGAGTAATAAGGATGTGGGCAGATGTGTGGGTGTGGAAGCGGTGGAGTGGAGGAGAAAGGGAGGGGGGTCTCGGTGCCATGGTAACCTACCATGGTGGTGGAGAAGCGGGTGCTGTAGGCAGTGATGACTCCACATTTACTGCCTGTAAACAGCTGACAACCGTCGGGCACCCAGGCACAACTAGTCACCTGAGAGACAGAGAGAGTTGGACACAAGCAGGCATGGCAGCTCAGGAATAGACACTAAAATAAACAGCAATAGAATAAAAGAAAACTGATGACTAATGAAACCAGACAGTGTCTTTTAACACTTGGTTATAGGTGCCTGAACAATGGAGCAAGTAAAGCACCTGCATTGCTACTTTTTTTTTCTATTAGTGGGTGGGCAACTAATATATCATTTTATATTTCATACTAATTTTTCATTTGTAAATTGACTTTTAGTGTAAAATAGCTTTTTCAATGTAAAAATTCCAGAATGGGTTATTTAACATTCACATGTACAGTAGTATCTAATTTGTATTTTCACGGGGGCCCTAGGTGGCTTCCTACCTTTTCCTAGTGCAGAGACCACCCTTTTGCATACAATATGTTAGCATATTTTTTTCTCCTGAGTCAATGTTACTTCTTTCAATTAAAAAAATCTTACATAGTGCAGCTTTAAGCTAACATTTGTTTGTTATAGCCAAGACTAACCAGTTTTTGTTAAGATTTGTTGGTATTTTTTTATGACTATTCCAGCAAGTACTGCCCCCCATTCTCCTCAACATTGTTCCTCTGTATAAAATGAGGCACCCTTCTAGGAGCGAAGCACAATGCTCTGCGTAGGGTTAAAGGCACGTCCATAGCTATAGATAAGAAAAAAATGGTTGAGTTTGCTACATCTCTCCTTTTTGCTTGTGAGCTTTCTTGTTATGACTTGGTGATAGGGTCCAACCTGGTGTAGTGGAGAGCACTGAATGAAGTTTATGGGAGGTTCACTCTGCTTGCTCTTGAGTCGCAGCATGTTGTCAGTGTAGCCCCAGCTCAGAATGGCCGACCATTGAATATCTGTACTGTGCATACTCCTGACACCTGTAAAACAGTGAGTATTTATCATTACCGAAGAAGAGAATACATATCCACACCCATTTGAGAAAATGAATGCTTTGCATCAGTCTAGCACACTTTCATGTTTTCTAGTCACATCTCTGCATTGTCTAAAAAAAAACTTCATGTACTAATGGCAGACCAAGCACTGGCTTACAACAGCTGTCATCTCTCCAAAAAAGAAAGCAAAGGAGACCAAAGCCTACAGATGAAATGTTATAGATATTTGTGAGCTTACACAGTTGCAGCTCCTTTTTATTTAACTTAGGAAATAAATCCTAAAAGGTGAGTCCATGCATGTTACATCTTTCTATCTTGATTTCTCAAATGAACACACACACACACACACATTTTCTAAACTTCTTATCCTTCTGCGTTGTGGGGGGGGGTGCTGGAGCCTATCCCAGCAGTCATAGGGCGGAAGGCAGGATACACCCTGGACAGGTTGCCAGTCCATCACAGGGCAGACAGACAGACATATAGACATATACATTCACACACACATTTACACATAGGGGCAATTTAGCATGTCCAATTATTCTGACTGCATGTTTTTGGACCGTGGGAGGAAACCGGAGTCAAATGAACATCTGGACATAATTCTAATAACAACTAGCCTTACCCTACAGCATCATCTGACAAGAATTTGTGTGGTTAACACCAAATATCAGTGGATAAGACTTCCCAAAAATAAACACTTATGGGGCAGTGACAAAAGTAGTAGACATATTATGCTGTGACAATAAATCCGGGGTTGCATTACACGATTTTAGTCTTGCCAAGTCTGTGCTAGTTGGCTCTGGTCTACAGATTTTTTGGGTCAGTCAGAGTCGACAGTTGGAGAAAGAGTCAAGTAGTGTGCAAGGGGCACAGACTTGGATCTTTTGCCTCCCGATCGCATTTCAGACCAGTTGGAGCATATCAAACATGTTTGATTTTTTGACCCGACTCGTAATCTAGTAGTGTAAATTGGTCAATGACTCAATCCGAACGGATTCCTGCAACAGCCAATGAAAACGGAGCACGAAGGAAGAAAATAAAGCAAGTAACATTAAATAAAAAAAAATGTCGAAGTCACTCATGCATGGAGCGAAGCTTTTTAATGAGTTTAACGCACAAGCTCAATCAAGTTTATGTACTTTTAAGACTCTAAAGAAATACCTCACCGATCACATTTTTAAATCCATGATCCTTTCTTAACAGCAGCAGCACTGAGCTGCTCCATGTTTGTTTATTTGGGCCTCCTAGTAACAGGAGAAGGCAAGAGTTTGTGTGAATTCAGTGAGTTTCATTCGGTTCAGCAGCAGCTTAAAAGTTGAGTAGTCTGTATAATATTTCAGTCACCCAAAAAATCTGCAAAAAACAGTCGGATAGTGTGAGATGCCCAGTCTTTTTTATAATCTGTCAGACTTGAAAAAAATACTTTTTTTTTTTTCTTGTGTGAACAAAGAAATGCAGACCTGAGTGTAGATGTGCAGCAGCACCAATGAGGACTTCTCATTGCACTGATTCATCTGGACAACGCCATGCACAGACATTTTGGCAAGGAGGGGAAAAAAGGGCAACATGAAAGTGATTTAAATTTAGTTTAAATTGTTGCATCCACTCTTACCAATACAGACAGTGTAACCATGTTTCAAAGGAAACCAAACTTAAATGTTAGGGTGCTTACAGATGATATTAGGCAAAAACAGCTTTGCAGTGGCCATTATTTGGCCATGGAGAGTTTATCAATTCACCTTTACGTTGCGCTACCTCGAGTGTCATGCACCGCTTGGATTTGCCGCTTTGCTGTCTTGCCGCTGCGCTCAAAGTTCAATTAAACTGAACTTTGACCCAGTTTGCTGCTGACCTTACCAACGAGCAACTAATAAGACAAAGCATTGCGCATGACATGACATATAACCACTTGCTTTTTTGCTGGGTCTTTATGTTTTAAGTTGAGATACGTTTTACAAAACTACATGCGAATACACTGGCAGATAAATGGTTTTCAAACTGGCGCTGATCTACAGTGCACGTGTGCTGATGATGCAGCACTGCTCAAACTCAGCAGTGAGCAGCACTGTGCGCCTACGCTCGTGGTGAACAAAGCGCTGAATGCTTATGATCTGAAAGTGCCCTTAAGATTTTTCCCAGGGCAGTCAAAACCGCTAGCTTTACTGCTCCAACAGGTATTTGAACCCCAGTCCTCAGCATGCAAGGTTATAACATTACCCATGATGCTACTTACTACAAAACCTCAGTGTTGCAACTCTGTTTAAAAGCTTCACTGAGCCTGGCATAACTTTGTTTTTTTGTTTTGTTTTGTTTGTTTGTTTTTTTTTAATAACAAAAACTTGACGCACATAGAACCTGAGTTGATACACAAGATCTTTTCCTATAGTGAAGCCGAGCCTCATTTCACTGAAATGGATCTTGAAAATGGCCATATAAAAAGACAGCTATTACATGCTGACCAAAAAGGCATGTGCAGTCTGAGGACAAAGGGGCTCTTAAGCCCCTCTGGGGTCTATCTCAGCACATGCCTGCATACATCATCCATTATTTGAATATATTTTTGTAGCCCATTTGGTTTTGTTCATAGCATTTCTAATTTTGATGTGATCTTGGACCAGTTATAATTTAATAAATAAAATAGAGACAGCATGATATTCTCCCTCTGTTTTATGTAATAACTTGCATACTTGAAACAGAAGCAGCAGTTAGTTGGCACTATATTAAGTTTTCTTCAGTTTCCAGCTGCTGAGTTAGCTTGCTTGCTAACTGCACCAAAATGGAAGAATTTTGTCAGTTTAAGGCTTTTGTTACATGAGACAATCAGTCATCAGCACCAGATCAGCGCTATTTTGAAAACCATTTATCTGACAGTGAATTCGCATGTAGTTTTATAAAACGTATCACAATTTAAAAAAGAAAGACCCAGAGAGTCTCATGTAACTATAGTGTCCTTGTGTGTATGTGTGTGTGTGTGCATGTTTCCCCACCCTGCTCCTTGCTGTAGATCATCATGAGGCAGAATTTGCGGGAGAGGCCGCAGATGGCACGGGTGGGCAGAGCCAGCAGGGAGCCAAAGCACTCTCCATGGGGCTGACTGAAACACACGACTGGGTCGGGAGCACTGGGTGAGCCCACATATTCTCCCCATTTCAGTCCCTTGATCCATGGCAGAGGACTCTAGGCAGAAAAAAAGGCAAAACAGCGCTGACAATAGTACACAAGAACAACAGGAAGAAAAAGATGTACATCTGATTTTTAGACACCGAATAACAAATTGCAGTTTGAAACTATGTATCGAAATCGAGCATGTGTGTGTGTGACCTTAACATGTAAAGACGTATGACATGGTCAAGCAAAATCCGACCTAATGCTTCTGACTTTTAAATAACTTTTTCAGGCTTTACAGGGCAACTCGCAGCAGTGCACACACAGCATATTTTAGTGTGTTTTTCTCCTTCTGAGTGCATACCTAACACACCCTGATACCCACTTGTAAATAAGTCACAATAAGAAACTATGCTATAGTATCTGATTTGCATTGACTTTAATTGAAAGACTTACAATTTTCTGTTAAGAATCTAAGGAATAATAAATATATAGCAGAGTATTCAAATAAAGTGGAACCACAAACACTCATTCCCAATAACCCCCTCATAAAGTGTTAGTACTTGTCAGTTACATTGTTGTTGTTTCACCTATCTTAAGATAACACCATCCATCAGTGAGACTAAAGATGTTTTACTCCAAAGAAATTTCTGCAAAGAACAATGGGCCTCATTTACCAATATTATAAAATTTGTTCAAGTACGAAAACATAGATGAATGTCAGAATCTTTGTGAAAACTGCATAAGTGGGTTTTAAAAATTTCTTCTTAAGAACAACAATGTTCTGTTTGTTTCCACACATCCTCAGTTCTACTTGCTGTAGCTTACAAAGGAAGCTCACTATTCTGCACTTGCAATGTATACCACTGACCCATGACTTACTGGATAGGTTTTATAAGCTCATACACGTCCTTCCTTGTCACAGACAACATGTAATATATCTGTTTTAAGTGTGCAAGAAGAGGTAAAAAGGAAACTATTGCTGTGGTGCGGCTGGCAAAGCTTTTATTTTTGCATCAGTATCCTCTGAAAAGCACGCTGGCTTGTATTTTGTACTTTCTTTTAGTGCCATTTGACACACGGCAAGCACCAAAAAAAACACTTCATGTTTGCATGATTGCTGTTGCTGCTGCTTGTTGCACATGGCAAAAATGCTGCACTGATTAACACAGCGTGTTGCAAAAGGTAAAACAGTTGTGCAGTTAACGCGTAGGGTTTAAAATGCTTTATGCTGAGTTCACAATCCAAAAAAAGCTGATGTTAAACTTGCCTTGGGGATGGGGCTGTTTGTGGTTCTCAGTGTTTGGGCTTTTCACGTTATCTACTGTATGGTAAAATTCATATCAACGCCATATTGACATTCACTTTTATACTGGTACATCTATCACCCATACTTTTAAGTAGTTTGTGGTCTCAAGGTACCTCCTTTTCTCCAAAGATTTGCTCCGGTTCGTCCAATTCCCCGGTGCCGCACTGAACATAAACCTTATTAACCAGTGAGTAAACATTCTCATCTTCACAGGAATTTTTACATTGACTTTTATCTGAGGACAGTAATATGGTTATTAGGTCTCACCGGGTAGACAATCTCTTTGTTATGTTCACGGCTCTCCCTGAAGGCCAGCTGCACCAGGAGGCCCATAGCTGCAGGCAGCTCTCCCTCCATCATGAGTTTGGGACTAGCCCGGCTGATGTGGATGGCATTAAACAGCTGCCTGGGCGTCTGGCCATACGTCTTGATCATAGTCTCCAAGGCGCGCCGTTGCACAGGGTCTTCAACCGCAGACACATCCATGCCAAAATACGTCTAACAAGGACAAAGTATAGGGTTTACCGCAATGATGAAGAGAAAATACACTTTTAGACTCCATATGCAGCACAAAAATGTAGCTAAATATGCACAATATTAATTTTTAATAATTGCCTATAAAACATTCTACTAGACATAATCTTTTAAACATTCTACTAGCAAATGTTCCAATAATGCTTGCTTGTATATTAGTCGGTAGCCTGTTTTAAACTAGTAGTGACCGGTTTGACGCTTGTTCATCCATTCTGATTGAACATCACATCACGTCACGTCAGAGAAGTGGAGAGCATTTGTCGTCTAGATCTATGTTGTCTGGTTATAAATAACAATCAGATGTTTTTCTTAGCCATCACATTACTTTAAACATGACTTACCAGTTGTAAATGATTAAATAAAATCAAAAACACAGCATTTGGGCATAGCTCATAAAAGTCAACTTGCCTTAACAATTCACTTGCCTAGTCTACATGTTATCGTTCCTTCAGTGGGACTACAAGTTGAAATACAGTCCATGTGTTGTTCTGATTATGGACCCAGCCAGAACAACACAGAATGAATGCTGTATTTTGTGTTGTTTCTAGTGTTTTCAATAAGCATCAAAAAACAGACTTGCGTATGTGTACTGCAAACTTCATTTATGCATCAACAGTGCTAAACTGCTTGCCAGTAAAGATGTATTGAACAACAATAGTATTGTTGGTCAACATCCTTAACATTTAGGTGATAAGATTGCCAAATCACCTAGGACTATAAGTAGCTGAAAAAGTGTGAATGTGAATTTCTCAAAGGTGAAAACAGGTGTCAGATTTCACTGCCTTAATTTTTTAAAAAGGGGGAATTAGTGAGGTGTAAGAATACAAACCGCTGGATGGAAAACATTGATAGCCTGGATGGCAGCCTTGCCCTTCTGCTTGAGGCCAAAGACCAGATCAATCCACTGGCAGAGTGTCTGTGACACCTGGTCTGATTCCAGAGCCTGCCTGTGGATAAGGACGAAGAGCCGGGGGTCGTTCCTGGCCCAGGGAGGCAGATTTACATGATTCACCCTTTCACTATTCTGACGAACCCCAAAGTCAAAACCTGGAAAAACATGTATAACTTTTTCAATACATTAAGCATGGCTGATTTCAAATTACAGTATTTACAAATTTACAAATAAATTAGATTTACTTGTCACACAATACTATAAAAAGACCTACAATTAACTGTGGGTTGCCTTTAATACATCTAAATCAGATAAGTGACTGCTCTTTCAACAGTGGGTAAAATAGGAAACTGCTGCTCAATGTACTGTTACAGATGGAAAATACCTTCTCTGTTGACCAAAAATTCAGGCAGGTAGAAGAATTCTGGGATGAGCTCCTTAACGTCTGTCATTGACTCATAGGAGGAGAGTCTCCAAGTGGTGTTCATGGAGTGGAAGGTCCGATCAGGAATATCAAAGCTCTGGTCTATGTGGATCAGAAAGAAATGGCATTTTTTGGTGGTCCTTTAGTTAACATAACCTACTTGTTTGGGGTACAGGACATTGAGGTATAAAGGATGACAGGGAAAATAGAAGGGAAAAGGCAAATAGATAATGAACAAAAGATTGAAAAAGTTTTTTAAGCCTAATGCATGCTGCACAAGACTTCAGAATACCCTGTTCACTTCAGAGCAGTCTTTTAAAGCATCACTTCAATGGCCTGTTTGAAGACCCAGCTGCCCAGGAAATGTAGGTGCTGCTCAACATAATGCATAATACTAACTGTGAATACTGGGTGGGAGCACCTGCACCGCCTCTCAGACCATGAAAGTCTGCATTAGAATCTGAGATCACCTTGGTACGCCAGGAACATTTTGGTGAAGGGAGGCATCCTGACCAGGAAATGAAGAACGGTACCACTGTTGGAGTAATGGGAGCCATAGTGGTAAGGCTGCACAGGTGGCATGGGGTCATCCTCACGAGCACCCTTCTTATACTCCTCTTCCAAGTACTACAAACGTAGACAAAGACACATACACACAGTTAAGATCAAAATCTAACTATAAGCATTGTAAACAGCAATTGAGCATTTAATTTATGATATTTTAAATTGATAAGATTATTAAATGCTCATTATAAATAGATCATTTTTTATGATATTTTGATTGATTGACTATTAAATGTAGGAAAAAAGAGCTAAAGCAGTACCCTGTAGTTGTCCACATATCGGTCCTCTTTCTCTTTAGATTGTACTGCAATGGGTTTGCTCAGATTTCTGCCATTAAACAAACAAAGAATGATATGAAGAGCTAAGACAACACATCTTCCAGACTGTGAAAAATCAGAAGGTCAGAAGAAACAAAACAAAAACTGCTTATGTTTGGAATTAACTGATGTAACTAGCTAAGTGCACTGCATAGTAGCATATTCTCGCAATGGTTTATCAGTTCAATCTAAAAAAAAAAAAGCTCCATGTGGTGACAAGCAATTATTTAGGTTAATTAAAACTAGTTAATTTACTTGTTACCACGTGAAATAATTTTTCATCTTGCGACAACACACCATTTTTTACAGGGTATAACTAGCTTACTAAACGGTTTTAAAAATTAATGTTGTCTAGTGTATAAGGATATGGCAATTTAGATAAGACCACATTACCAGTGAGAGCTATAGAGATTGCTTCTTCAGAAATGTAGCAGCTAAACATATCAGTCTTCCCTCTGACAGAAAAATTCCTTGAAGTCAAGGCCAATACATGCCGAATGCGTTGTGAGTAAGCAAAACGAAAATGAAAAATATTCAGACGTGCTTTTTTCCTCATCAAAAGTACACACACTGGGTGCAATGCAATTTTTGGAATGTCATCATTTTTTCACATTACACACAAAAACAAACAAATGGTTAGAATGTCTGAAAGTGGAAACGCACACTGTGACATGGATTATGTTTCCTTTTGGAAAAGTTAAAGGAGCACAGAGAGCTTCACTGCTTCCTTCAGGAGTTAAAACTTCGAATGCTCAGACATCCATAATTTTGTTTTAGCTGCTTTTAGAAACATTAAACTTACACATGACAAAGTAGAGGACAAACTCATCCTTATTACATTTGTAAAAGGGTGTAGTTGCTGGGACAAAGCCAATCAATGAGCTTGATTATGCCATGCAACAGCAGAGACAGCAGTGATTGGTTGAGTGAATTCATGTTGCCAGGGAAAGTCTGCAAAAACTGTCCAGCGGACAATTTTACAGATACAGAATAATGTCACATTTTCGCCTTACAAAAAATTGTTTGAATTAATTTACTGATGTCCAAATAAATCTCATTAAAAAAATCCTCTTAGTGTATAAAGGACTCCTTACGCATAGACGAGTGTCAGACTGCTCTCAGTTTAGTGTAAAAGGGGCAACTTAAACTGACATGGTGCTTTACCTGTAGATATTCGGGTCCTGCAAGTCCAGAGTCTCGCTAATGTAGTCTCTCAGGATGAAAGGGAAGACTGGGTATTGCATCAGGTCACTGAAAGAGCGTCCTGCATGCTTGTTGAGATGGGTGAGGTATTCAAAATTGGTGATTTGGCTGGAGCCCCACAGCTGTGTGAGGGCGTTTATGTTGTCATACTCCAGTAGATTGGGCAGCTCTGATGTGAGAATGTTGTGGTAGACATCGTCACGAAACTGAGGCAGAGAGGAAAGAAAGGGGAAGACAACATGAGACACAAACAGTGAAGGATACTGAATACTGGACTGCCAATGAAATAAGCCAACTTGGGTTATCAGTTATAGTAGAAAGCAAGTGATATACTAATTATGTGCAAAATTTATAATTGAAGCGCTTAGTGTCCAAAAAACAAACAAACAAAAAAAAAAACATCATAGTTGTAGTTTGAGAACTGAAAACATTTCTTACCTAGGGCTGTCAAAGTTAACACATCAACACGATAATGAAATTCATTTTTGACCCTTCACATCATGCATGGTAGTCCTGGTGGAAGCCCAGCTGTTTGCACACTTCTATGTTTCTTTTGCTGTTTTCTCTCCAGCCAGTACAGTACAGCACAGTCTGGCAGTCTGGTTACAAACCCAAACTCAAAATTATCCTTACTCTGATCAAGTGCCTTTGTCTGATTCCCATTGCTTAACAGAATTGTGACAGTAGGCGAAGTTCTCTTTAACGTAATTTCTCACATATATCTAGGATTACTAGAAAACACATAAACAGCAGAAACAATGGAGGACCTTCAAGCTCTGATTTACCTTTTACTCTGCATTTTGTTTTATGTGAGGGTGACAGACAGCAATTCTGGCTAGCTACGGATTCTTTTATTTTTTTAAATAATGGTCATCCACTCCAGTGACTTGGTGTGGAAATTCTATGACATAGCATTTGCCCAATCAATGCTTTGCGCCATAGGTTCTGCCTCGACATGCTCGGTACCACAGTGAAAAGGGTAACCAAATTCAGCCTAATTATTTACTTTCTGCTATTCACTGAAGACATTTGTTTTTTGAGATGAATAAAGATGACGTATCAGAGTTTCAGGTTTTATTTCCTGATATTTAGATTGGATTCATTTGTCTGTAATTTGGCAGACATAACGTTTCTGTAGACTGAATTTTCAGAATTCATTCTGCTGCTACCATCATGAGTTACATCATCAATACAGATTAGTGAGTATTCCAGAAGCAGCCATGTAAGCCCAAACCATGACACTACCTCCTCCATTCTTGACCGATGAGCTTGTACGTTTTGGATCAGGAGCAGATCCTTTCTTTCTCCACACTTCGGTAGAGACTAAAACTCCAACTTTTGTGGCTCATTTCTGTAATTCTTTGTGAATTGCAGTCTTGCCTTCCAATTCCTACTGCTGTTGAGTGATCTGCATCTTGTATTATGGCCCCTACATTTCTGCTTCAAAGGGTGGATTTGGATACTTTCATCTCTGCCTTGCGGAGGTTGTTGCTGACGTCACGGACTGCTTTTGGGTTTTTCTTCACAGCTCTCACAATGTTTCTGTAATCAACTGCTGTTGTTTTCCTTGGTCGACCAGTTTAATGCCTGGTTGTTAGTACACCAGTGAACCAAGGTTCAAACCAGGAGCAGACATTCAAGCTATTAATTGTTTAATCAATGTAACAGAGTATACTTAATAAGAGATAAGAAACACCTGTCAATCACACTTTTTAATATTTTTGCTCACTTGAATAATGGATGGGTTAAACTAGGGGTGCATCTATACAGATTCTGGTATAGGGCCAATACTGTGCTCATTTACTCATACTTGTACTAATAAAAATACACTGATACCAACATTCTGATACCCGCTGATACCGTGTGAAGTAAGCCGAGTGTACACTCCCACACTTAATAAACAAATGCAGTGAAGAAGGCTCTGAGAAGTGTTTCTCGATTCTGTGATGGTCGGATACAAAGTCACTGGTCACTTCAAATATTCCGCCTTGGCATATTCCCACCAGGAGACACGTAGGCTAGCTAAATGGAGGCAGTGAAAAACTCGTCATGTGCTACCAAAGTCAGTCTATGCTAACTTTACTGATTTTGTTGTAAAATAGGCTATAGAGACAGCGTATTATCCTACTGTGTACACTGCCTGATTTAGCTTCAGTCCTCAGCGTTAGCAGCACTTCTTAGAGTGTTGTTCTGACTGAAACGGCTTCATCTGAAATGGTTAATGGACCGAGCTGTCTGTAGAGGTCTGCGTTTTAAGTAGCATGAACAGAGTGTTTTTGTACAGTTTGGGTATATAATTCCTAACCTTTGTCCGTACATGATGATCTATTCCAGGGGTTGGCAACCCAAATGTTAAGATGAGCCATTTTGTCCTTTCAATAAAAATCAAACCACCTTGAGAGCCACAACATTTTATGTCCATTTTACCGTCTTGGCTGTAAATATGTATCAGTAGGTGCTAATCTACTGGTATAGGCTAAAAATATAATATAAGCTCAGCTATAGTCGCTTTTTAACTACTAACTAACGCTGAATGTTTAAAAGCTATGAAATTATTGAAATTATTTAATAAAAACCTATCACCAAGGTTTAGCAGAGGTTTAACTTAACTATATAAGAGTTGCAGTATGTCATGTGGGTTGGACTTGAAATATAACTTGTTTTTGAGTGATATCATGAACTGTCTGAAAGCTCTTGTTTCACCATAGGCCAGGAGAGGTCAATGTTATCTATATGAGAGGTGTAGCATGTGATGTGGGTTGCACTTGATCAAATACATCTTGTTTTGGAGTGATATTGCCAAACATTCAAATGCTACTGAACTTATTGTACAAAAAACTACCACCACAGGCCAGCAGAGGTTAAAGATATCTTTATAAGGGGTGTAGTATATCATGTGGGTTGCATTTGCTTAGACACAACTTGTTTTGGAGTGATATTACCAAATGTTCAAAAGCTATTGAAATTATTTCCTAAAACAGTACCACCACAGGCCAATGGAGATTAAAGTTATCTTTATAAGGGGTGTAGTATATCATGTGGATTGGACTTGATGAAATATAACTTGTTTTTGAGCGATATCATGAACCGTTTGTAAGCTCTTGTTTCACAAAAACCTATCACCAAAATTCAGCAGAGGTCAAAATTACCTATATGAGAGGTGTAGTATGACTTAATTGACTAATGATTCAGGCAATTTAGTCCAACTGCTGTAATTACAACTGATGCCATATATTGGAGTGTTTTGTTTTTGTTGTTAGTGTTTGTGTTTTGTTTGCATAGTTACAAATACAACTCTTTTCTAAAACTTCTCATCATTTGTCAACTTCTAAAAGGAGTACTGTGGCTCATAAGGCTGAATTTTCATATAATTTCATATATAAGTGTGAAGTGCTTTTTGCACGCCGGTCTTTACTTTCGTTTTTATTGTGTAATGGAATTTGTAAATGGTCCCTTGGCTCTGGCAGGGGTTGCAGCGGCCCATAGGAATCAACGTGGTCTGTGGTTTTCAAAAGGCAAACCTTTCCAATCTAAACGAAGTTGCAGCTGCTTGTCTTGGATGTCAATGACGATAATTTATAAGTATTAAGCCTTCTGCATGCACCTTTCGAAAGCTATTGAAAGAAATCCGAACATGCGAATATGAAACCAACTTTGCCCCAGTAGAAAACCTTTCCACAAAACAAAGCATAGTTTTTTTTTGTATAATGTCTCTCAACATTCGACTTTTTACGAGGCTGAATTAGCTTCTCATTTGCCAGATTCTTGTTAGAATTTTCCCGTTACACCTTGAATGGCGCCAGAATGTAACTGCTGCACCATTTAAAGTGGAATGGGAAAATTCTGAATTCAGCTTCTTGTTAGCTTTTGAATTCAGCTTTTGTGTTTGACAGTTTCTCGTTGCAGATTAAAAGAGTCAGAAAACCAGCTGAGTGTATATAAACGCAAAAAAGTCAGTTCGGCTCCAAATTATCGATGTTCGTCTTAAATCTTTCTCTTTGCCTTTTCATTAGCTACTAACTACGCAAGATTCTTGTCTGTGTTGATGTGGTGACCAGCAGTCTGCCTGCTGCTAATCTTCAGGTCCACATGACAGCACTTAAAGGTTGGTAAATTAGCAGTTATAGGCTAACTCCAGGGTTTAAGAACATCAAAACTGTGTTAGAACGCTCAGCAGAGCTTTATTTTACTGCAATTTGTTTTAACCTAAACATCGAATTTTGCTGTGGAGCCACAACAGGGCAGTAAAAGAGCTGCATGCGGCTCCATAGCCCACTCAAGACAATTAAGTAATTTTAAATTAAAATTAAAAGTTCACTTCTAGGCTAAAATAGGCTATTATTGTAACAAACTCATATTGTATTGCAGAAACAAATTAATAATAGCCATTGATAACAATGTCTTATCCAACTAATTATTACTCTGGACCATCTTGCCTAATGCTGACAGTTTAGCCCACAGAGCAGATGTAGTCTCTGTAGCATTTACCCATCACAGAATCACAATCATCAGGTGGGAACTTAGTAATTCAGCTCTTTTAATCAGTACAGATCGAGATGAATCCCAAAAGTTTAGAAAACAAGCAGACCCCCAAGGGAAGGTAGGCTGAGGGGAATAACACTCAGACGGTAAAGTAAACAAGATGGAAAGACATGCTCAATATGCAAATACGTGGTACCAAGAGCCGATAGGAATTATGTGGGTTTTACTCAAGAAGACCACATTGACTGAACATTTAAGAAGAGTTGAGAAGTCTAAACTGAATTGCATTTTTCAGATTAGGTTACTCCAACTTCTTGTAGTATTTGTGTTAAGTCTTTCATTAACATGTGCAGGCCTTACAGCATACTAAGTAGGTTATTCAGTACAAGTACTAAAAATTATGTATCCGTACTTGTTAGATATTGAACTCATTTGTAATACAAGAAATTATCAAAGAACATTACACAGAATCATTGAACCCCCACATACATGTTATATGATGTTCTGATCAGATAGTCAAAGAGTAGATGTTACCTTTGTGGTGTCAAAGGCCAGAAGCAGGGTTCGACCGTTAGTGAGGAAAATTTCCACAGCGTTGTCTCTGAGCTGCCACCAGCGCTTGTGCACCTCCTTTATCTCCTCATACGTCCAGCAGAAGGAGGCAGGTTCTGTCTCTCCATGAGGCATCTGCTAAAAAAACAAAAAGGCTTTTCTGCTTGAGCCAGTCATATAGACATTTAAACATTCTCACAAATTGCTACTGAGCTAACCTGAGTGTCACTGGCCTCAGCTGCATTGTCCTCCACAAAGTACATCCCTGATTTTCCTACAGACACAAAACACAAGAATATTTGAAACTCTTTGAATCACTGTTGACAATACTATGTATCAGCTAAAACAGCAATATTTACATCTGTTCTTTTATTTGAACAGTCTTACCCAGCAGCAGTTCTCCTACAGTTTCTCTAGAGGGTGCTACACTTACGCACCGCCGTGTAAACCTAAAGAGAAAGACACAGCAGAAAAAGACAGCAGGTCTCAAGAATGCCTAAACAGTTAAACTAAATTCCACTGATTTTTTAAAAAATGTTCTGCAAAATTAAATCATTAGGATGTAAATAAAGTCATTCAGAGCGGTTTATTGTGAAATTCAGCATTCTAGAGAAATTTGCTGAGTCAGAATAGTTCACAGTAGTGAGGATAGGAACCAGATGTCTTAAAGCATTTACTATTTATGAATACGCTGCCTGATGCCTGAGACATTATTTGATTCTGAGTGAGAGTTCTGAGATAAAGTTTTGGCCTACTTTTTAAAACACATTCATGGTGGGGAGATACAATATACAGCAAAATAGCATTGTTTTTTGTAGGTTTACTGGGTGTTTTGGATGGTAAATAAAACGACCATATTTGTAGTGCAGACATTGCAAACCCTTGTTCCCATTACTATCATCGCAAAGAAGTTGGTGAGATTCTCTAAAATGAACCATTTTACATTAAACCATTCTTAATGACACTCTCAACTACTGAATTATGCAAAAATATAATAAAAAATAAACAAAACAAACAAAAAACACACACTAATTTCTAAGCTGAATATAATAGCAAAAAACATATAATTTATACTAACATTACTTGATGCATTATACAATTTAGCTTTGTTATTAGTACCAAAACCACAAACACTTCATAAACTGGTACTCAAGAGTTATAAGGTCTTGGTACCTGATGGGCTCACTTGTGGCTTTATCCTTCACAGTGGAGGAATGGGTTTTGTCTTCAAACAAAAAGGCCAGTGGGGCCTTGACGGTGCCTGCTGAATTGAGAAGAATATATATATACACACACACACTATACTTGTAATAATACTGTATATACATATTTTAAATAGTGATAATAGTAAAGACTGCTCTCTCTCTTAAGGTTTTGGAAGTTGTGGAAGTGGAGCGCACCCTCTGGTTTGTGCCGGTCCTTGAGAAGGTATTTATTGGGGATTGTGAGGTAGCAGCGCTGCAGCCGTCTCCGCTCCCGGTTGGGCCCCTCAGTGGGATCCAACTGCCATGAAGTGGGGTAAGATGACTGGTCATACCACACTGCCCTGAGAATACATTACATATATTGATAAAATTGATGGGCTATAAGCTGTTGTGAGTTACATGCACAGATACTGAAATGTAGAGATGCACGGAAGTGGAATTTCTGGTAAAATAATCAGTAATTTACAACTTGTTGTAATGCACTTTTTTGCATTTTATTAAATTCACTAAGTATAATCCATATATGATGTTAAAAATATGGTGTTAAATTACTAGTTAGAATTATTGGCTGTAAGTCAGACATTAGACTGATAAAATTTAATTTTCCTGTTTAACAGCCAATAATAACAGCCCCAAATATATTGTTTACCCTTACTGAAATGAGTCAGTTTTGATGTTTAGAGAAACATGGCTGTGCATGAGGTGAGTAATGACGCATTTGTCTACATTCATTCACAAACATGAAGTGTAACCTATATGCCTGAAGCAGTATAGTAAATTTAAGAAATTATTTTTTTTATATTATTATTTATATTTTTAGCTTTGGTTGTAGCATTGCCCTATCAGCTGGCTGGCTAGAGACCATTTCTATGGTTTGAAAGACTGTGTGTGGGACAGTGCACATCAATTTCTGTAAATGCACCAGTTTAGGCAGTTTGGCTAATTTTGAAATAATTGATAAAATATAAGTGCAATGAAATAAATTCAAAAAGCCCTTCCCCTCATGAGAACCTATGCAGAGGCTTTATATACTAAGGAAAATGACATTTTGCTTGCACAATGCGGTGGTTTGATTTTAGATAGATAGACAGAACTTTATTGATCCTGAAGGGAAATTGCAGTGTTTCAGTAGCAAGACATATAATTGCACATAAACTTACATATACTATGCAGAAAAATAGAAATAAATTTAGACATAAGTTAAAGTACAAGAGAAATAAAATTAAAGTATATCTATTTGCATATTTACATGGCATATGAGACAGATTTGTTGTATTAACAGCAGGCACTGAGTGGTATGAGGTAAACTAAAAGCACATATTATAGACATAACTAACTCGGGGTTGCATCAATATTACAGTGTAAAGTGCATAGTGAAAGTGTCACTACAGTAGTAGTTATGATATATTGCACAGTGTGTATTATTTGGAGAGGAGATACAGTGATGTGGTTCAGCACAGTTCAGACTGCAGGAGATCAGTACCATCTCTGCAGTAAGGAGACTCGTTGTAGAGCCTTATAGCAGTGGGTAAGAAAGATCTCACACGGCGCTCTTTAACACAGCACAGCTGTAACAGTTGGCCACTGAAGGCGCTTCTCTGTTTATCCAGTGTAGCATGCAAAGGGTGTGAGGGTGTGAGGTGTTATCCACCTTGATTTTGTATGGTGTGGTGTGCACTGGCTGCTAACAGAACTCCTAATTGATGTCATTTTTCAGAAGACCTCCCCCAGACTGTAACTAGTCCTAATCACCATGTTGTTTGTTTTAAGACCACTGCCTGACTGTGACTGACCCTCATTACCATGTTGTTTACTCTTAGACTTCCCTTTGACTGCGATTGGTCCTAAACAACACATCTTTTGTTCTGAGACTACCCCCTGACTGCAACTGGTCCTTATCACCACATAGTTCGTTCTGAGACCTCCCTCAACTGTGATTTGTTCTAATCATGTCCTTTCTTCTGAGACCTCCCCCCTGACTGTGGCTCTATTTTGTCTTTTGCAGCTTTTTACATTTTCATTTCGCTGTTGCATATTACTCGCAATTACAACCACCAACCTTTGAAAGTCACCTCTTCTCTCATCGGATTCGCGAGACCCCTGGAAAGGACTCAATTCAGCTGATGAAACAATGTGAGTATCAGTATGGCAGACCGTGAGCTGTTGCTTTGCTCTGAGTGCAGCATGTTTAGTTATGCTTCTCTCTCTGTCACTAGTGACAGCAGTGTTACTAGCTTTGTGTGTGAGAAGTGTAAGTTAGTTTCGTGCTTGACGGAGAAGATTATACAGTTAGAGGTGTGCATCCGGAAGTTAGGAAACAGCAGTGCTAGTCAGCAGGACTCAGACTTGCTGTTAGAAGCTCCGGGTGCCTCAGGGAGAGCTAGCACGCCCTCGACTCCGGCAGCAGAGCCCTCACAGGCCGTCGATTGGGCGGCATCTCAGCGGCATAGCCGCAAAGCTAAAGCTACCCCACGCGAGCACCACTCATCTTCCATTCACGTGTCCAACAGGTTTGCCCCACTCAGTGAGACACCCTCTGAGACGCCTGTTGAAAGCGCTCTGATTATAGGTGTTTATATAGATTATATATTTTATGGCACGTGAAAATAGCTTCTCCTTTAGGGGCGCCAGTAGCAGTTAACTATATACCGTGAGCCAGGGCGCCAGACATTAGTGAGAACCTGAAGCTGCTAGCTAGCCGTAGATATTCGAGGATAGCCATTCACGTAGGTACTAATGACGTTCATCTGTGGCAGTCAGAAATAACTAAAGATAACATTAAAGAGGTGTTTAAATTAGCCCAGATGATGTCAGATGTCGGTCACTGAACTGCTGGTTGTCCAAGTGGTGCTCAGAAAACAATGTGGGATTTGTAGATAATCGGTCTACTTTTGAGGGAAAGCCTGGTCTTTTGAGTCGGGATGGTATTAAAGCTCGCGGGAGGGTGCTGCTCTCATTTCATGTAGCATAGCTCGTACTCTCTCAGATAGCCATCAGTGTAGGACAGTTAGTCGCTGACAAACCAGGGCCGAGGCAAGGCAGCAGACAAACAATCTAAACCGACCGTCTACAAAAGCATCATGATTTTGATGCTCTGTGCCTCACAGAAACGTGGATTCGACCCGATGAATACTTTAGTCTAAATGAAGCCACCCCCACAAGCTACAGTTATGCGCATAGCCCTCGTTTAAGCGCCGAGGGTGGAGGTATAGCAACCATCCATGCTAAAGCTTTAGGTGTGAGCCAGAAAGTAGGATACAAATTCTCTTCTTTTGAAGTTCTTTTTCTTAATGCAAGTGATCGAGGAACAAATAAGAATTCCTTTTCACTAATTACAATCTATAGGCTGCCAAGAGATTTTAATATCCACTTTGACAAACCTGAAGATGTACTAAGTGAGGCATTTATATCCATCTTAGACTCTGTAGGTTTCACTGAAAATATAAAGGGGCCCACTCATTATTGCAGCCACACTTTAGACTTAATTCTGACTTTTGGTGTAAACATAGATAACTTAGCCATTCTCCCCCAGAGCACAGCAGTCTCAGATCATTACCTAATTCCATATGAAATTCGCTTTAGTGGTAGTGTACATTCATCACCATGCTATCATGTTAAGTGGACTATAACTTCCTCCACAGCTGGTAGCTTTATCAGAAACCTTCCACAATTATCAGCTTCTGTCAGCTGTCCATCTAATCCTACCAAATTAGATATTAAGACCAAGTGCTTAGAGGATACTTTTCGATCTACTCTAGATAATGTGGCTCCATTAAAAAGTAAAATAATAAGGCAGAAAAAGCGGCCCCATGGTATAATGATCATACTCGAGCTTTAAAACAGACTGTCAGAAAACTAAAGCAAAAATGGCACCTGACTAAACTAGAAGTGTTCCAGTCCGCCTAGAAGGAGAGCCTTATAGACTATAGAAGAGCACTTAGTGCAGCACGCTCAGCCTATCTCTCCTCTCACATAGAAAACAATAAGAATAATCCTAGATTATTATTTAGCACAATTTCTAAAATAACTAAGATGCCATTAGCCTATAGCAGCAATGATATATATGAATTTCTTTAGTGATAAAATTGAAAAAATTAGGCAGAAAATTCAGAACACACAGTTAAACTTCACAAACTTGCTGCCTTATAATGCCAGTCTAGATCTTGAGAATATTGTAACTACTGCAGAGAAGCTGGAATCGTTTACCTTACTTCAACATAATGAACTAGTTAAAATTGTTTCCTCCGATAAATCTTTTACTTGTATGTTAGATCAGACTCCTACCGGTTTACTCAAAGAAATTTTGCCAGAAATAACCAAGCCTATTCTGTCAGGAACAGCTCTTTCCTGGTTGTATTATTCACATTATACACTATATTGCCAAAAGTATTCACTCACCCATCCAAATCATTGAATTCAGGTGTTCCAATCACTTCCATGGCCACAGGTGTATAAAACCAAGCACCTAGGCATGCAGACTGCTTCTACAAACATTTGTGAAAGAATGGGTCGCTCTCAGGAGCTCAGTGAATTCCAGTGTGGTACCGTGATAGGATGCCACCTGTGCAACAAGTCCAGTCGTGAAATTTCCTCGCTACTAACTATTCCACAGTCAACTGTCAGTGGTATTATAACAAAGTGGAAGAGACTGGGAACAACAGCAACTCAGCCACAAAGTGGTAGGCCACGTAAAATGACAGAGTGGGGTCAGGGGATGCTGAGGCGCATAGTGCGCAGAGGTCGGCAACTTTCTGCAGAGTCAATTGCTATAGACCTCCAAACTTCATGTGGCCTTCAGATTAGCTCAAGAACAGTGCGTGGAGAGCTTCATGGAATGGGTTTCCATGGCCGAGCAGCTGCATCCAAGCCTTACATCACCGAGCGCAATGCAAAGCGTCGAATGTAGTGGTGTAAAGCACACCGCCACTGGACTCTAGAGACGTGTTCTCTGGAGTGACGAATCACACTTGTCCATCTGGCAATCCGATGGACGAGTCTGGGTTTGGCGGTTGCCAAGAGAACAGTACTTGTCTGACTGCATTGTGCCAAGTGTAAAGTTTGGTGGAGGGGGGGTTATGGTGTGGGGTTGTTTTTCAGGAGTTGGGCTTGGCCCTAGTTCCAGTGAAAGGAACTCAATGCTTCAGCATACCAAGAGATTTTGGACAATTTCATGCTCCCAACTTTGTGGGAACAGTTTGGGGATGGCCCCTTCCTGTTCCAACATGACTGCACACCAGTGCACAAAGCAAGGTCCATAAATACATGGATGAGCGAGTTTGGTGTGGAAGAACTTGACTGGTCTGCACAGAGTCCTGACCTCAACCCGATAGAACACCTTTGGGATGAATTACAGCGGAGACTGCGAGCCAGGCCTTCTCGTCCAACATCTGCATCTGAGCTCACAATTTTGCTTCTGGAAGAATGGTCAAAAATTACTATAAACACTCCTAAACCTTGTGGAAATCCTTCCCAGAAGAGTTGAAGCTGTTATAGCTGCAAAGGGTTGGCTGACATCATATTAAACCCTATGGATTAAGAATGGGATGTCACACAAATTCATATGCATGTGAAGGCAGAGTGAATACTTTTGGCAATACAGTGTATGTGCTACCACTGGGCACCATTATCAGTAAACACGGCAACAATTTCCACTGCTATGCCAATGACACACAGTTACATAGTTATATCAAGCAAACCAGATGATAAAATTCAACTCGGCACAATTGAGGACTTTATAGAAGACATAAAAGACTGGATATCGAGTAACTTTCTCCTACTTAACTCAGATAAAACAGAGGTTCTGCTTCTTGGTCCAAAAGCTGCTAGAAACAATCTGTCTAATTTAACACTTAATAGTTTCTCAGTTGTGTCAGGTTCATCTGTAAAAAATCTTGGTGTCATGATAGATCCCAATCTGTCCTTCGATGCACATATAACGGATATTACTAGAATAGCCTCCCTGTATCTCTGCAATATTGCTAAATTAAGAAATGCATTATCTCTACAGGATGCAGAAAAGCTAGTTCATGCATTTATTACCTCAAGGCTAGACTACTGTAATGCCCTGCTGTCTGGATGTTCCAGCAAAAGCCTTAACAAGCTTCAGTTAGTCCAGAACGCTGCAGCCAGAGTCCTCACAAGAACCAGAAAGTTGACCATATCAACCCAGTTTTATCAAACCTACACTGGTTGCCAGTAAAATTTTGCATCGATTACAAGATTCTTTTACTGACATATAAAGCTCTAAACGGACTCACCCCTCAGTACCTGAGTGAACTTCTCTCATACTATGAACCATCGTGCCTACTTAGATCACAAGGTCCTGGCTTACTATTAGTACCTACAATTAATAAAATAACATCAGGAAAGCCGCCCAACTTTGGAATAATCTTCCAGTCAGTGTTCGGGACTCAGACACAGCCTTAGTCTATAAGTCTAGGCTAAAAACTTACTTGTTTAGTCAAGCCTTTGGTGACTAGTTTTCCCTGTTAGATAAAAGGTGCAGATCTGGGGGTTCATGGACATAGAGTATTATGGTAAACTGGGAGTGTTGGTGCTGTCGCCCCGCTGCTCTCACGCGTTCACTCAGGTTTGCTGATGGTGGAGCGGAGGGGCGCTGACATCTCAGGGAGCCCTCATGTCTCTATTACCTTTCTGGTTTCTCCCTTTTAGTTAGGCTGCAATAACTAGACCTGCTGGAGTCTGTGCTGCACTCTGTTAATACTGTAATCTGTGATCAGTCACTCTTTACAGAACGGACTCTCTGTGTGTTTTCCCTTTCTTCGCTGAGTTGAACAACTCCCCATCCTGTGCAGTCTGATGCTGTTGCTTCTTCTGCCTTGATCGGGTGCCCACTGCTCGCCAGCCTTCTGGACCGGTTTGACCACCATTGAGCTTCATGCTGTACAACGCTGTGCAAACCTTACCCTCATGAACTGACCCTCTTGATGATGATGCTGCTGCTGCATAAACTAAAACTAATCTAATTAACCATTGCTCCGCCTGTTTTCCCCGTTTTGTATTAAAATATTTTATACTAATGCTGTTTGCTATCCGGTGTTGACCAGAGGAAGATGGGTTCCCCTTTTGAGTTTTGGTTCCTCTCAAGGTTTCTTCCTCTTGCTCTTAGGGAGTTTTTCTTTGCCACTGTCGCCACTGGCTTGCTCTTGGAGGCTCGGACCCGGTTTTTTTCTGTAAAGCTGCTTTGTGACAACATCTGTTGTAAAAAGCGCTATATAAATAAACTTTGATTTGACTTGACGTGATTGGTCTTAATCACTGTTGTCTGCTCTGAGACTCCCACAACTGCAACTGAAATATCTCCCTGGAGGTATTTAGTTCTAATCACTGTCATTTGTTCTGAGACCTGCCCCTGAATCCCCTTCCCTGACTGTGATTGGCCCTAATCACCCTGTTGTTTGTTTTGAAACATTCCTCTGTGAGTAGTTCTAATCACCGTGTCATTTGTTCTGAGACCTCCCCCTGACTGTGAATGAGTTCTTTTTAAGTGTATTTACGACAGTGTGTTCAGTGGTAGTTTGATTTCATTTAGTTCTCTTGTCATTTAAAGTATGCAGACAGGTTAAGTGTGAGTTTGTGGTTCTAGAGAAATGTTCTACCATTATATAAGTCCTTAGGAGCTTTAAACAGGCCTGGCACACCCCATTACTATGTCATTATATAAGCACATACAACAAGTGAAAGGGCTGGAAACATATAAGGTGCTGACCGGTCGTGGGTGAGCTGTTGTACTAGCTCTTGCCAGTGGCGGCTGGCACTCAAGTCAGTTTTGTAGAGGCCTCTGATGTGCTGGATGACTTTTTTCCTCTCCATGCCCTGTCTCAGAGACACATTCTGAGTGATGTCTGCTGCGATCTTGGAAATGTCCTTCGATTTACCATCTAGCCTCTGCATTAAACTGAAAAGAGAGCATGTGTTAAAATATGAATTGTATGTTTACTGATATAAACACAAGCATTTACATGTTGTTTATCTGTTTACGTAAATTTTCACCCGAACAGATTGCTTTTAAATTTTTATTAAAGAAGGAACTCTCACATCTTCTGGGCACTGGCCAATTTCTTTTCCCATGCCCCTTTGCTTGTTCTTCCCTCTGACTCATATTTGAGTTGTTCCTTTGAAGAGATAAGAAATATTAAAACAGTTAAACATTTGAACTGACAATGAAATGTGAATGGTACCCAAGGTAAACAGCTTTGATTACAACATTTGAAATAGTTGTCTGTTGTCATCAACTATATGCTGTACATTACAGATGTGGAAGCCAGAGATTAGGTTGGTAGATTTCCTTAACGTCTCCATTTAGTATTGGTACAGACATGAGATACATGAAATGTAGTGTCACAATTGTAAATAACAGCTTTACATCACCAGAACTGAAAGAGAGGCCTACCTCCTTGATAGCTTTGAGTAGGTCCGGCTTGGGCGGGGCATTAGGTGGGATGCTGCGATGGCCGCATAGCTTCAGCGAAGTCATAAAGGTGTTAGCAGCAGCCTGCTCTTCCTTAGTGAGGCTGTCTTTGTGGTCATGTAGCATCTCATACAGGTAGAGAGCAAGCTTGGGTCCATGCTAATGAACAATTCAATTCAAGGGCACTGTCATTATATATTCACAAATTACAGTAGAATTTAAAATTGGGTCTGGTAGTCACTAGGTGGTAAACACTGACTATGTCAGTCAATGGGCAGCAACAAATACGAAATACTAATAATATACACAAACTATAAAGAATTACGGTAACAGGTTGTACTGAGATGGAATTTCAGGGCCGATACAATAATTAACAGCTTGATGTGTGTTACTGATATGAATAAACAATACTTTTACTTTTTTCATTTTACAGTGATAGAGCCATGCCCCATCTGCACAAAGTTTGAGATGGGGCAATAAGCTACGTCAGTAATAGATAAGTGGTTTTCTGGAGGCTGAAAAATGCAAGATGCACTGCCATGTTGGCTAAAAGATACTATGCCATGCGAGCAAAAAAGGCAAACAATCTCCTCTTTCTCACTGGCAGCAAAACTTAATATATCTTTGCGGGATAGATACTTGTGCGAATGTAATAATAATAATAATAATAATAATAGTAAATGTGTCTTAATAACAATGTTTTTTTTTTTTACAGAACACTCAGCAGCTAAAAGTGCTTTACAGGCAGGTGATAGTGTTTAACAGTAATAAAAGAAACTATTAGTATTAATTTAAAATCATTTAAGACAATGCAATTAAAATGATAATTACCAAAGAAACAAAGAAGTAAAATTTTAATTGAACGTTAAGTTAAAGAGATGCAAGTTCAAGTGTTTTTTAAAGTATGCATTGAGCTTCTTTCATAGAAGGTGGAATTGACTTTCACAATTTAGAAGCATAATAACCGAAAGAGGCCTCTCCACATTTACTGTGTTTTATGTAAGGAATTTGCAGATCTAAGATCATGTGTTGAAACATAAACAGACCGACATTCTGTGAGGTAAGTGGGTGCTAGGTCATTTACAGCTTTAAAACCTAGTAGCAGAAGTCTATTCAGATACATGTAGCCAATTTTTTGTTTTTGTTGAGATCTGTGCTGCTGCATTTTGTACGAGTTGCTGAGGATGCACCAATTTCTTTGGAAGCCCAGTAAGAAAAGCATCAATATCAATTTGAAGAGTAATCAATTATGCTGGTAACAGATGCATAAATAAGTTACTGCACCTCACTCTGGGACGGATAAAGGCTGAATTTAGCAATATTCCTCAAATGATAAAAAGCTATTTTAGTGACTGTGTTTACATGTGGGACAAAACAGAGCTCAGAATCTGAGATTACACCCAAGTTTTGTACTTCAAGCTAGGTATATGGAGCTAAAGAACCTAGCTTCTCACAAAGCATTTTTCTCTGTGGTTTAGTACCTTGGATTAGTTTTTTCTTGATTTAGCTGTAGAAAATTTTGTGACACCCACTGAGAAATATCTGACACATATCTGATCAGCATGTCAACAGTTTTGATCCTCAGAAGGAATGGAAATGTAAAATTGTGTGTCAACATAGCCATGAAAATTGATATCATGTTTCCTAATGACATCACATAAGAGAAAAGCAAAGACCCTAAAATTTAACCTTGTGGGACACCACCAGCAATGTTAAGTTTTTTTGATAAATGATTTCCCAGTGAAACCAATAACTGTCTATTCATTAAGTATGATTTAACCATTCTAAAAATGAGCCTGAGATGCCCAATATTCAAATGATGTTAAAGAATCTTGTGACCAATGGTATCAAAAGCTGTACCAAGATCCAGTAAGACCAAAATAGAAGGATTTTGTGCATCAGCGTTACACCTAACGTCAATGACAACACAAACCAAATGGATATTTAACTAATATTTTCATCTCTGTCGTTATCACCTAACTACTGCAACCAAGCAGCTAAAGTATACTCTTTTTAGCTTTTTTCTTTAGCTCTGCTGATTTGTGATGAACTATTTCTTGCCAGTTTGCGTATCATAGCGTGACTCACAGCCACGTGTTCTGTACTGTTATGTTATTCTGTCATTTATATCACATCTCATTTGTTATATAACACCTACCATTATTTAGTTAAAAGTCACATTATGTTGAGTCACATTATTATGACAACTTTCTACTTCCAATGGCACACAAGCTGGTGGTGGCAGCGTTATGGTCTTTTGAATGTTTTCGTGGCATCCTCCGAGCCCACTCATCCATGTGGAAGGCACTCTCAGCCGATTTGGGTATGAATCCATCCTTGCAGATCACATACACCCATACATGCTGATTGTCTTCCCTGGGGTGGATTGGATCTTCCAGCAAGACAATGCAACATATCACATGGCTAGAAATATCCGACATTGGTTAGAAGAGCATGACCAAAACTTCCAAGTACTACTCTGGCCCCCTAATTCCCCAGACTTGAACCCAACTGAGCATCTGTGGGACCACCACGATGGTTGTGTTCGTTCCTCCCCCACGCACCCTCCAGCAGCTGTGGGATGCACTGCAGTCAGCATGGCTCCAGATACCTGTGACAACCTACCAGGACCTTATTAAGTCACTCCCAGCCTGTCAAGCTGCTGTCTGTGCTGCACACGGCGGTTACTTTGGATATTAGCTGGCGGTCATACTAATGTGACTCGACTGTGTATTATTTATTTACTTTACGTTTAAGGCTATCTATTAAACAATTTCCTTATCCTTTGAACAGGACATTTTTTGTGAAGTCTTGAAGTGCAAAATATCTTTGTATAACCCTGTTTATAAAATGGAAAAAGGCAAAAGGAAACCCTAAACTTGAAGTATGGGTACATGTTATACCATTATATCAAGTATCATATCGCTGATGAAAGAAAGAAAGAAAACCTTGTATCTCCATTTTTGTCCTTTTTCGGTTTTTGACATAATTTGAATGCCTGTTATGCTTTATATTGTGTGTAAATTTCATGAAGAATGGAACAAATGAAATGCACCAAAATGACTTGGTAAAAAAAAAGTCTAAAAAAAGACAAAAAGTCTGGTTCCATTGACTTGAAAATAAGTTTTTCCTTCCCCTGTAAAGTTATCATTTTGAAGATAAGAGGTTTTCTTTCAACAACAGCGATTATAAATAAAGAGCAAAAAATACTGTTAAATCTAATTGTCATTTACCCAAGTTACTTGAAATTTCTTTCCTCATTTGAGGCTTCCAAGAGAAACTACAATAGAAGCAGATAAAGAACAGAGAAAGAACAGGAAAGAAAATGCAGGAGCGAGATAGGATCTTGCTGCTATGGAAACTGCAGGAGCTGGTATGGATCATGAAGACATCTATGTGGGTTATTCACTGTATGTCAGGCTGAGTTCAGGCAGATGCTGACAATACACAACAGAACCACCACAAACAGCTCTTTACTCATGTTCTCAGCTCTACTAACTGACAGCACCAAAACAAAATGCCATAAAAGACATCCTTATTCCTCTCTGTTTTGCACAGAGAGAACAGACTCAAATAAATGAGAAATGACATGTAAGCTCCTGCAATACTTATGTGGCTGAGGACCCGATGTATAAAACCTGTGCCAGGTTCAACACCCAACAGTATGCATTTCGCCTGTGTGTTACGTACACTGATCAGGCGTAACATTATGACCACCTCCTTGTTTCTACGTTCATTGTCCATTTTATCAGCTCCACTTACTATACAGATGTAGTTCTACAATTACAGACTGTAGTCCATCTGTTTCTCTGCATACTTTGTTAGCCTCCTTTTACCCTGTTCTTCATTTGTCAGGACCCCCATGGACCTTCACAGAGCAGATACTATTTGGATGGCCGATCATTCTCAGCACTGCAGTAACACTGATGTGGTTGTGGTGTGTTAGTGTGTGTTGCGCTGGTACGAGTGGATCAGACACAGCAGTGCTGCTGGAGTTTTTGAACACTGTATCCACTCACTGTTCACTCTATTAGACACTCCGACCTTGTCAGTCCACCTTGTAGATGTAAAGTCAGAGACGACAGCTCATCTGCTGCTGAACAGTTTGTGTTGGTCGTCCTCTAGTCCTTCATCAGTGGTCACAGGACGCTGCCCACAGGGCGCTGTTGGCTGGATATTTTTGGTTGGTAAACTACTCCCAGTCAAGCAGCGACACTGAGGTGTTTAAAAACTCAGACCAGCACAACACACACTAACACACCACCACCACATCAGTGTTACTGCAGTGCTGAGAATGATCCACCACCCAAATAGTACCTGCTCTGTGAGGGTCAATGGGGGTCCTGACCACTGAAGAACAGGGTAAAAGGGGGCTAACAAAGTATGCAGAGAAACAGATGGACTACAGTCTGTAATTGTAGAGCTACAAAGTGCACCTATATGGTAAGTGGAACTGAAAGTGGACAATAAGCGTAGAAACAAGGAGGTGGTCTTAATGTTATGCCTGATCGGTGTATGAAACTAAATGCACATTTTATGCATCATGCACATGAAAACATATAAAATGTCTTTTTCTCTATCCTATTTATGCATTTGAGGGAGGACAGTACAAATTGTGTGAGGAGCTTGCAAAACAAAAACAGTCAGAGTTGGAATTGTGGCTGATTACATATTAGAACTGATTTACCCAAGTTAAGCTGCTACCAATTTGGGTGACTTCCTCTGACAATGGCTGCAGTCAATACAATTTGCCAACAGATTAACACACAAACCATGGACTCCCAAAGTGTGAGACTGTACTGAAAATTTTATATATATAATATATATATATATATATATATATACTATATATATATATATATATATATATATATATACATACACACACACACACACACACACACACACAGCACATATTGCATGGCACACATTGCCCTGCGCCTTCTCACATGCAAACACCCGGCCATGAGTGTGCTGTGATCCCTGATTGCTCACCTCCAAGCCAGGACTAAGGCTCTCTCTCAGGATGTCTGGATGTTTCTGCTCATTGACAAACTCTAGTGCCTCCTTTCTGTCCTCAAGAGGCAGTGAAGGACTGAGGGTGTGCACTAGAAGGCGGCCGATCTGGACCCTGAACGTGTCCCGACAAGACCAGAGAATACGTTGCCACTGTTGTCGTGGAGCTCCACCACGACCCATAGTACCCTGCAGAATGAAAAGTCAGTCAGACTCACAAGCTTGAGACATATATCTCTTCTTGAGATATATATATATATATATATATATATATATATATATATTTTTTTTTTTACAGCTGCCACAACTACGTCCTTGTCTGGTGTTTTTTTTTAAATCATGAATTGACATGGTCCTTAATAGCCTACAATCACCTGTTTAATTCAGTGAGTATTTGCGAGGAGTTTTCAGATATAACTGGAACGCAGTTATTGAAATTTAGTTAATGTGTAGTTTAGTTTATGAAAAAGTATTGGTGCGCAATATAACTTCTCTATTGTGGCTCACTTAACAGCATGTTGCTTTCAATTAGCACAGTCAACAGCTCTACATTTAATCAGGCTAAGTTAGCGAGGCCAGACATGATCTTGTAATGAGAATACATATCTGGGGACAACTTGTTAAACTTTTGCAAAGAATAACACAAGCAAAGTAAGCTATCTAGTGAAATACTATTGTTAGCTAATAGAACTGCACTCACTTTTTTTCTCCCTTAGTAAGTCTATGTTCCAACTACAGATTTTTTTTAGATTTTAAGCTTTTTGACTAATTTGAATATTTGAGAATTTGTAAGAGTTGATCAACAGCTTGTAAATAATAAATAAAATAATATATCTGAAAATGTTTTATTATCCAAAAAAGCTGAGAAAAATTGGCCGCTTTCATGTTGAATGGGTAATGGAGGGTACACATGCAAACTAAAAGTACTTCTGACTGGATGTTTTTCACAAGGTATTTTCTCATGAGTGAACTACGTGCCAACATGTTACTTTGTCAGAGAAATGTGTTTCCACTGTTTCTGGACCTACCTAGAGCAGTTAAGCTAGTTAGGAAAAAAGTGACATTTGCCTTCTCAGTCACGTCTTTTAACAACATGTCCTTGGCAACTCATGTTCAGGCCCTCTTGTTTTGGAGTGGCACAGTGTAATATAAATACTCATCCACAAATATGTGTTTTTTTCAAACATAGGGGAGCCATTCCATTGAATTTTTAGTTTCTATATTTCCTCCATTTTCCTGTGATGAAATGGAACAAGTGCCTGAAAACTGTTTTCAGTATTCAAAAACTGGCACCTCAAATGGTTAACTGAGTACTCGCATACCTGTTCATATCCCTAGCTATCATATCCCTAGCTACTAACTACATTTAGTCCAAAATTTTTCATGGCTGTCCCCAAATGTTATTTTTATAAGATCACATTTGGCCCCATGAGACTAACTTGACAACTGCTTTCTAGCTAATGCTAAAAGTTTGAGCCTCAAGGCTCTCAAGACAAGTTCAGTATATTTGAAACTCCATGATTTGTGTTCATTTTGAAAGTGAATACTTGTGTATTTTAGTAAAAACAATAATTAAAAAAAAATAAATAAATAAAAACTATATATTTCTGGTGTTGCACAAATGTCATAGGCACCAAAACGCCCCATATGCATAATTGTGGACCGCTGCTCTAGATCTGAATAAGGAAAACAGACTAGCTAAGTAACAAAAAAATAATAATTAGAACAAATATACAATGTATTCAAACAAAATCCTTCAATGTGCTTCGTGCTACTAACCAGGCCGATCTTTATCCCCTCCATCATAAGCTTCAGGATGTCTTTCTGAAAGCACCTCATATTGGCCAGAGGGAAAGGAGTGGGAAGGGTAAAGCTATTCTCTTCTGATACCTGTTCACCAGGTGAGGGTGTGGTCACCATGTGATCAGGCGTCTCCGGAAAGTTTAAGAGGTCAAGAAAGTCCTTACTGTTGTCTAGAAAATAATGAAGCATGCATAGTAAAGCATTTAAACTTCAAATTAAACAGTGGTAGACTTGTGTAGACTATATTCATTAACTTTCAGCTGAAGATTTCAAGTTTCTTCATATTTCCACACATGCCTGGTTTTCAGGTAATAAAAAAGACTACCAGTGTTTCTATCTTCAGCTACACACAGCAATGACAAAGCAGTATACACGATATATATTAATATCCATGTCATACCAGTATTCAATTTTGTTCTGGTATACTTCCCATGTCTAAGATATACTAGTCGTAAGAACCACAGTAATGCAAATTGCATTAATATTTGGAGATTTACCATAGTACATGATTCTGTTGACGGCCAGCACCACAAGCCTTTGCAGTCTCTGGATAAATTCGGTCTCACTGGCTCTGATGGGGTTCTCCTGGCTCATCCGCCGCTGCATCATCTGAGTGAGCTCATCACTGGCTACTGAGCGCATCCGCATCAGCAAAGAATCCGACTGTACTAAGGAAAGCTGCCGTTGGCCTGGGATGTACACACAAGTAAGAAATTAAAATACCACAAATGGTGAATTGATGAAACTTTGACAGTAATAAGCAAAGGCTAAGGATTCTCATTTTTCAAGTAGACAGTGGAATACTTAAGAAATGCAAATAAACTGTGGATTTATTTAAGATTTCAAGCCTGTAAAAGAAGAAGACAACTACTGATGTATAATAAAAAAGTATTTATTGCCTGTAAATGTCTGTATGTTTTCTTTATGATTGTCTGTACTGCAACATAGTTAATATTAAACAAATTCATTATTCAAATATTGACTAACTAAGTATTTGATTGTCCTTGCACACCCTTATTGCAATTACTCAAACATGCATCAAGATGATCAACATTAAATCAAAACAAGTTTCAAACTGAGTAAATTGAGATTCAGCAATCACACACTAGTAATCTCTTCATATACTGGACAAAGTAAGAGCAATCATGCAGTTATGTAGTAGGTCAGTAAGTCCACTGCACACAGAGCCAGTAATGTGAGAGTGGGTGATGTTGTCCCATAGGGTAGAGCAGGGCTGGAGGGCTACCTGTGTCAGAGGAAGCAACATATGAACAGGATCCAGTGGGGGAAGGGAGGGGGGTGTCCAGGGACAGGAAGGTGAATGCAGGGGGCAAGGGAATCTGGCCATAAGAACAGTAGTGTTGGCGGGAAAGGCGGGGGATTATAGAGTCTTTCAGGCCCACTATACCTTGCGGGCAGGTTTAAACACACACACACACACACACACACACACACACACACACACACACACACAACAGAACACAAATTTAAGTATCCAAACAGAACTAAAACTACATGTGATCAGCGGTTCCCGACTCAATCTCCAATATTTTTAAAAAAATCAGGATGGGTTTAAATTGATCAAGGCAGTACTTCCACAACTATAAAAATTAGTCATCTCAAGCACCTGCACTCTAATCCCATAAACAACTCTTCTTTTCCTCAACAAACTAAAAGGAACATTGAAACCAGAACAGCAAGACACTGCTTGTCGTCCATGGTGTGAAGCCAGCTGCACCGCTCATGAAACATGGTTCTCTTTCCACTTTTCGGTAATGCCATTTTAGTTTCGACTGGTGCACAAAAATTAAACACAATATCTGGGAGTTGACTGAACAATCACTGTGAGCTGCAGCTATGCTGTGTTTAGGAGAGATAAAGGAATCTCTGAATTATCTACTGGCATCAGATCTACACAATTCACATGAATGGAATGTTCATCATTCAAAACAGCTAATTTCACAGAAACGCGACATCTGCAAGAAAGAAAGATGGATCACAAAGCCATTCCTTTGCATAGCCATCACATGGCTTAATCAGACATGACCCATAATCCATTACAGTCATTGAGATCATATATACCTCACTGTTTTAGCAGTGTTAGAGTGCATCTGTCCAACGCTGATCATTCGTTTTTAAGATCCAATTTTATTAGACATACACATATTACAATAGATATCATTATTTTATAATAATAATAATACATTTTTTTTGCAATCCGGCAACTATATCTTGTTCAGAAAGCCTTACTGCCATCACAGTGTACAAATCAAAAGTTTCCAATGAGCAACTGGTGCACAGAAGTGCATCTACGTGGACGTGCGGAAAGCCTATGGGAATGTAACTGACAAAATACAGATAGTTATGGTCATATGATCATCATAGCGTATATCTCACAGACGGGCTGCCCATCTCTTCAGGCAGAGCGTCTGAGGTTGAGACTAGGAAACTAGGAAATTATTATTCCAGCATCAGCTGTAACTGGCTAAATCTGAAACATGATTAGATGGCTTGTACTGACCTGCAATGCTTTTGCGCTTCTGATGGAGAGTATGATGTGGTGAAGCAGGGATGTGAATAGCGGTGCTCATCTTCTGAGGGTCCTGATGAGCTGTTGTCATAATGAAGTCAATAGCTGACTGGAGGACGCGGAACTGCAGGGCCATCGCCAGTTCTAATTGGCAGAAGGAAGCGTAGTCTCCGGTTTTAATTTCTAGCACACAACAGTTTATTTGTTTAATAATGAAAAGGAGGGTTACTGATGTCTGCATTGTTTACCTTGAGTGCGGTGTACTTTGCTGCTCTGCATGAAGCCCAGCAAGGTGATAAGATCCTCAATGATGCGAAAGTACTGGGAGCCTGAGGAACTGCAGGCATGGATAGTCACCACCACAAGTAGTTGTTGGATATCACACACCAGCAGCTTGTAGTCATTCGCAGAAATCCTGTATAAAGGAGTGTATGTAGTCCACTTACTTAGTGACTTACTTACTTACTAACTGACTTATTTACTTATTTATTCATTTTTTTATATGGCTAGCATTACTTTGGTAAGGCAACATGATTATTAGGCTTGCAGTTTTAAAGCAGGAGCCCTTTAACATCCCAACATACTGAGAAACATAAACTGATATGACCAAAAGTGAATTTCTAAAGCTTTTAACCATGTACTTAATCAAACAGTGAAAAAGTTTTTTATTTTATGTGTTCACATGTTTCTCCATACTATAAGCATTTCAGTTTCTGAAGAGCTATGATGATTTAGGCTTCTCTTAACTAGCAATAAAGTTTATTGTACTGTGTACATCATATGTATATGAGAAAAGCAGTATGGTGATACGATAAGTATACTGTACTGCATTATTATAAGGAAGAAAAAGCAGTATGAGGAAACCAGAGGCTCCATATGGTCACTGCACACAGAGGAATTAGACCTCCACATTTAACCCATCTGTGCAGTGAAACACCCACATACATGCACACACACACTAGGGGCAGTGAGCACACTTGCCCGGAGCGGTGGGCAGCCCTATCCACGGCGCCCGGGGAGCAGTTGGGGGTTAGGTGCCTTGCTCAAGGGCAATTCAGTCACGTATTGTCGACCAAGGGGATCAAACCACCGACCTTCTGGTCACAAGGCTGGTTCCCTAACCTCCAGCCCACGACTGCCCCCATGTCCATATGACTGTCCATATTAGCTGATCAATTACCAATCCTTGAAATCAGCTTACAGTTAGTTGTCTCTTTTGCAGACATGATAATTTAGTTAGCTGGCCACCAAGTTGACTAACTTTGGCGAACATTAACAATCGCTAGCTAATTAACTGCTTTCAAGTTGAAGAAAAGCTATATTTTGAATTAGTCGGTCAGTTCGCAGTATTACTACTCTTTCAACATGTGCTACTACAATTTCTTACTAAACTGTTTAAAGAGTCTAATGTTTATTCAATTTATAGCCAAGCTACTAAACCTTGAGCTAACTGCAGAGCTTGAGCACATGAGAAAACTATGAATTTAGACTGGTTATCTCACATTTATCAGCTGCACTAACTGCCTGCTGCAGATAGAACCTTATAACACCAACTTAGTGTGCCATTTTTAAGGCGGAGTCTTTAATTTTATTAAAATACAGATTCTACTATTTTAAATCACTGCAGCAAAAATAATCATTATTGGTTAATAATCAATATTATATTGTCATATCCCCTTCCCCTAGTTTATCGACTTTACCCATTCTCCAGACCATTGAGGGTGGACAGTGTGTTGATGAGCACATAAAGTAGGCCGTGGTCCAGCAGGATGTCAGCCAGTTTGGGGCAAGTGTTCAAGAGCTGCAGCAGCACACACATGGCATTGTGGATCAACGAGTTCTCATACAGGGAGTTCTCCAGCAACCCCAGCATGGGCACCACAGAGCGCTTCCTAAATGGAGAAATGCTTTCCATGTCCTCCAGGTAAAGACTGGAAGGGAATGGGTAGGTGCAAAGCAAGGTTAAATCACTGAAAATGGAAAACAACTTTTCGAAGCCTCAGTAGTGTAGTGAGATGAATGTCTTAGAAAATATAAAAAAATAAATACTGAGCATTATTTAAAGTGAGTGTTTAGTGGGCTGAGAAGCTTTAGGTCTAAGTATGACCAATAAGGGCAACAAAGTGAGACTGAATATAAGCGTATTGGTACTCACTCCTCCTCTAGGTTCACAGGCCGACCAAACAGCATCTCCAGACAGCACTCCAACACGGCTTGAGTTCCTTGGTGCAGGTACAGCTGGTTGGCCAGTAGAGAAAAGCCATGGTTCCTTAGGAATTTCTCCTTCTGCTCCTTCTGGGCTCGGCTAAAGTATGCATCCAGGAGCTGTGTGTGTTTATGGGGAAGATAAAAAGTGAATAATAAAAGCATTATGTTTACTGTCAACACTGCATTTATACTAGCAGAAAATTTCCAATACATCTAATAATGTATTAATTAGATTTCGACAAGCAGAACAGCTTTTTGTATTATCACTAGAAAAATATGAAGTATATTTTTTCCATATCAAATTCCATACCATATATATCTGCAAAACTTATTTATAAAAAATAACAAATCAACAATAAAAAAATCAATCCCAAAAACAGTACAAGAACTGGCAATATTCATTATATATTTATATATAATATATTATATATTTTAATGTCACTGCATCAACGATTTTGTGGCCCTCTGCCAAGCTAAGGTAGTCAATAAACAAAACTTACATCTGCTTTAAGGGGTAAACAACACAAAATACATACACACAAACAAATAAACAAAAAAAAGTACAAACAAACAAAAAAACAAGGACACAGTGTCACTGATGAGGCTGAGTCACTGAGGCGTCCTCTTTGTGTAGACATTTAGCCTGATGAATATGAGTATTTAAGTATGACAGCTGAGTGAGGTACAAGCCAGGTCCATGATGGGCATTGTGTCTAAAAAGAAATATTGGATGAGTCTCAGATGATACTTGATCGCTGCCAGCCTAAGGTTAAAAAGGTTCATGACACAGATAAGCAGAGAAGCAACAAGCTGGTACATGACAAGCTTTTGCATAGGCCGAGTCTGCATTAACATGCAAGAAATGAAACAAAAAAATATGCAGTAAGGCTGAAACTACTCCAAAGACGCACTCTTGACACATGCAAAAAGAAGTGGTCATGCCTTTGCAGAATTAATTTGAATACCAAAAGGGCAAGAAAAACACAGAAACTATGCAAAAGACATAGTATCAGTCCACACAGTGGAATAAGCTCTGATGTGAAACAGGCCGCTCCGGAGAGCAAATTCTGTAACAAACAGGTAAACAATTTTATGTATAGGCTGAGCATGCTCAGCATGAACGCACAAATCCTTGGAGGGTACAATTTATACAACCACTCATCCTCATACAAACTCAATACCGGAAGAGAAAGTGCTGCCAATCAAGAACATCTGGCTCCTAAATAAGAAACAAATTATAGAAAAAGTATTTGCCCCTCACCCGATTTCTTCTATTTTTGCTAATCCGTCACACATTTAAATGTTTCAGAACATTTTTTATACTGAGATGAAGACAACACAAGTAAACATAAAACGCAGCTTCTAAATAATTATTCCATTAATTGAAGATAAAGATTTATTCAAAACCTATATCACCCATGTGAAAAAATGAATCGCCCCCTTACCTAATAACTGGTTGTGCCTCCCTTGGCAGCAACAACTGCAATCAAACGTTTGTGATAACTTGTAATGAGTCTTTTACATCGCTGTGGAGGAACGTTGGCACACTTCTCTTTGCAGAATTGTTTCAATTTGGCTACAATGGAAGGTTTTTTGATGCCACAGCATCTCAATGGGATTTGGCCACTCCAACCAAAACCTTAATTTTATTTCTTTTGAGTTGGTCAGAGGTGAACTTGCATGTGTGCTTTAGATGATTGTCCTTCTGCATAACCCAACTGTGCTTGAGCTTTAGATCATAAACTGATGGGTGGACATTGTCCCTCAGGATCTTCTGATAGCAGAATACATGGTTCTATCAATTATGACAACTCTACCAGGTCCTCGCAAAAGCAAAGCAGCCCCAGACTATTACACTACCACCATGTCTGACTGTTGGTATGATGTATTTATTGTGGAATGTGGTGTTAGCTTTATGCCAGATGTAACTCGACCCATGTCTTCCAAAAAGTTGCACCTTCGACTCATCAGTCTACAGAATATTATCCCAAAGGTCTTGGGGGTCATCTAGATGTTTTTGGGAAATGTGAGACAAGCCTTTGTGTTATTTTTGGTCAGCAGTGGTTTGCCATTTTTGTCCCATGCAAAATACTTATTGTATTCTTATTATGGAGTCATGTACATTGATCTGAACTGGGCAAGCGAGGCCTGCAGTACTTTAGATGTTCGTCTGACCTCCTGGATAAGTTGTCAATGTGTTCTTGGTGAAATTTTGGTAGGCTAGCCACTCCTAGAAAGTTTCACTACTGTACCAAGTTTTCTCCATTTGTGGATAATGTGGTTCGCTAGAGTCCCAGAGCCTTAGCAATGGCTTTGTTACCTTTTCCAGACTGTTAGATTCCAATGACAATGAGTTTTACATCTGTATTTGAATCTCTTTAGAACATGGCATCATGTGCTACTTTTTGAGACCTTCTAGCCTGCTTCACATTGCCCGACAGATTCTATTTAAGGAATGTTTAGATTTAACAGGTCTGGCAGTAATCATGCCAGGGTGTGACTAGTAAAAATGAACCCAGTAGTCTACTGATTTTAGCTAACTGGTTGATTTAGTAGCTAAGGGAACAGTTTTTTCACATATGACCAGGTAGGGCTGAACAGCATTTTTCCTTCAATAAATGAAATCATCACCATTTTGTGTCTACTTGGGTCATCTCTGTCTAATATTAAAAGTAGTTTCAATATCTAAACCACTGAAGTGCGACAAATATGCAACATACTGTATATGTTTTGATGGTCTTAATGCTTTTTCCATTTGAAATGCATTACTTGAACCTGCAGATGCTGGCATCTCGATCAATCAAGAGTTTCAGTATTATCTCTACTGAGACACAAACTTCAGGACTGGCAGATTAACATTTGTTTTCTATGTTTTATGCAGCATGCACTCATTTTCTGGTCAAAACATAATACCACATTGTACAGGGTTCATACACCTGTTCCAAGGTCAAATTCAAGCACTTTTCAAGCACTTTCAAGGTCCATTTTCAAGCCTTTCCAGCACCTTACAGCTGTAGTAAATTACATATTTATACAAATACATACATACTCAGAATAATTAATCACATTAAAAGAGATGGTATTATGCTAGAAACAACCAGAATTGTGTTCAGTAATAGCAGAAGGATCAGAAATGAAAAGACAACACATATGCTTTATGTTTCAAAATGTGTCACCTGTTTGTAAGTAGACTTTCCTTGCTATCTAATCTTTCTGAGTCAGGATAAAACAATTACCCAAAAAACTCACTGGACAAATAACTTCACTTCCAATAAATTCTTTACTAATAATGTCAAAAATAACAACACTCACCTTTGAGGTAGGCAGTCAATCAGCTCTATAACGTTTTCCCACAGTATTGTGCAAATCAAAACAATATAAATAGTGGCTAGTTACAACTTGAAACTAGACTGGCAGATCGCACACACTAGCTAGCAGTGTATGGGTCGCGAACAAGCTATTTGAGCCAGGTCTTTTAAGTCAGAGGTCGACAACTCAAAATGTTAAGAAGAGCCATTTTGTCCTTTCAACAAAAATCAAACCACCTTGTGAGCCACACTATTTCATGTCCATTTTAACATCTTGGCCGTAAATATGACTATGTGCTAATGTACTAGTATAAGCTAAAACAAATTTAATATAAAACATAGACTTACTTTGCTTTAAGCCAAAGCTCAGCTATAGCTGCGCTGCATGTTAGGCAGGAAACTTTTCAACAAAAGTAGAACAGTTTCTTGTAAAATGTCTCTTAACGTTCGACTTTTTATGTATGGGAGGCAAATCCAGCCAAAAAAAGAAATTAAAATTAAAACAACAAAATGTAAATGCAAACCTCTTCTTGCCATGTCTTTTTCCAAACATCTGCGCAAATATCCTGCCAAAACTGAAAATGAAAATAAATACCTACATTTGAAATTTCATTTTTCACATTAGCACGAGCCATTTGTGACAAAAACAAAAATTAATTTTAAACAGCTATTTGTCATTTCATTTTAGTCCTTATTCTGGTATTTCATTGTCATATCTAAAATGGAAAAGCGAACAGAGAAAAGAAAACGCAGGCTTTACTTTGGCTTTGCCTTTTCTTCATGAAATGCATAATACGTGTCAAAACTAAAATCAAAATGCAATGTTTATGTTCTTATTTCTTTTTCATAGCAATAGACTGCATATCTGACAAAATGAAAATGCAAAATGGATAAATCAACAGTAAAGTGACAATTTGCGATTCAGTTTTCGGCGTGGACGCGCTTTAAGTCTCGAATAAAAAGGCAAATGCAAACGAACAAAGGTGCCATCTGCTTTTCATTTCCCACTTTCCTTTTTCATTTTCAAATTGACCAACATGTAAATATATGTTAACACTAGGCGGGGCTATGGGGTACATTTTAGGACATCCTCAGACCTCAGAGTCAGAACAGCATCATTCCTCAAGCTAAACAACTTTGAGTCTTGGGAAAATTATCGTCGTGTCTCAGACCTGGTGAAGCTGAACATCAGACCAAACAGCCTCAGAAAAAAGGTATCAGACCAACCGCAAGCCTGGTCGAGCATATACTGGTTCATATAACTTAGAAAACTATTGTGTATTCTCGATGTAAATGCAGGTATAATATTTTCTGTCACTCTGCTGTTGATTTAGCCATTCTGCATTTTCATTTTCATTTTGTTAGATATGCAGCCTATTGCTATGAAAAAGAAATGAGAACGTAAACGTTGCATTTTGCTTTTAGTTTTGACATGTATTATGCATTTCATATTTACAAGGCTGAAGTCGCTTCTCTTTTGCCAGCTCCTTGTTCGCATTTTCCTGTTCCACCTTAAATGGGGCCTGAGGAGCCAGAATGCAACTGCTGCACCGTTTAAGGTGGAATGGGACAATTCGAACAAGAATCTGACTTCAGCCTTGTGACATTTTAGTGTTTGACAGTTTCTCATTGCAGATTAAACATATCTGGAAACCAGCTGGAGTGATTATAAATGCAAATAAGTCCATTCGTCTCCACATTAACGATGTTTGTCTTAAATCATTCTCTTTGCATTTTCGTTAGCTACTAGCTAGGTGAGACTTGTCTGCGTTGCTGTGGTGACCAGCAGTCTGCGCGCCAACCTTCAGG